TTTTAAAAAAAGAAATAATATTATAGTTATTATAATATATAATACTAATAAGAATTAAACTAGAACTAATAAGATATTTAGTATCTAAGTAAAGTATCTAATATTTAAATAAGGCATTTAATATTTAAATATAATATCTATAATTATCTAATAATTATATATAATTCCGAGTTTAAACTAGTATATAAACTTGTATATAACTTATAATTATTTAGATCCGAGATTTCTTTAAGATTTTCTTTTCTCTTTAGTTTTAAATTATTAAAATAAAAATAGTCTAATTATATTTTCTAGATTCTAGATTTTATATTTATAATATAAAATAGCTTTTTTAAGATTTTTCTAATAACTAATAATAATTAAATTAATATTTAAAAATAAATAATTAGCTTTCTTAGCTTATTTATATAGTTTTTTAATAATAATAAGCTAATTAATATATATGAGTTTTTTAATAAAAAAATAAGTCTTTTCTTTAATAAATTATTATATATATAGGTACTAAAAAGCTTAGCTTTACTTACTTAGTAACCCCTTTTATTTAGCTAGATCCAGAGGCTCCTTTTAGAGCTTCTTTTAATTAGATAACCACTTATATAAATCACTATTCCTTACTATTTTATAATAGTTATAAGCCTGGTATACTAGCTATATACCTCTATTAGTAATTAGTAAGTATTCTAGTAATTGCGGTTTATTCTTACTACGATTATAACTGCCAGAAAAATATATTTTACCTGGTTTTCTCATCCTTTATTTCTCTCTTTAGAATAGTAGCTCTACTAGTCTCCGATATATGCCTTACTAATTACAGGAGCTTCCCTGTATAGTATATAGAGCTTAAAATTAATTCCACCTTTCGAAACATATAATACCTCGTTAATCCTAATATTTCAGAAGCTCCTCACCTACTCTCTATAGAGCCCTCTCTACCTCTCATAATTAATTAAATAATTGAGTAATCGAATATCGAGCGAAATACTCTATTAGTAATATGGGATACGAATAGGAGGCCAGAAGCAGAAAAGGAAGTATAACTAAAAGCTCTATATCCAGCTTGTTTTAATAATATTAAGAAAGAATACTCATTCAGGCTCAAGAAGTATACTATTAAGTAATCGAATTAGTTAATGCAAAGCTCTCGGTATTAGAATATCTGGGATTAGGTATACCGTACGATTAAACCGGCTCTGCTCGCACTATACCTTGAGTTACTCGTTTCCTAGCAAAGGCTCTCTCTTCAGAATATTATACGAGCTCTTTGTAATAAATTCCAGCCATCGGAGAACAATACGCAAGAACAAGTAAGGGAGGATTATAACAGAATTCTGGATTGTAGCAGAATAGGTTTAGAATCTCCCAAAGCCTGGATTAATAATTAGTACCAAGCTCTCGTATAAGCTCAAACCTACCGAGTTACAGAAGTCGAAGGATTCCTGGTAATTAAGGACTTTCTTCAAGTAGTAGCAGCCAAGTTTATACCTATTTGGGGAGTACAGTAACTCGCTTTGGTAATTGAGGCTAATATACTTGGAGAGCCCGTTTATATACTCGAGTAATACGGAAGGATCTTTGAGGCCCTAATTCAGCAAAACGAATACTCTTTACTTGGGATCTTTGCTTCTCTTACTAGACGATCTGATTCGCAAGGCCACTCGTACCCTTATAAGGAAACAAGAGCGGAAAAGCACCCGTAGAAGCCCGTTAATTGCTCTATTCTAGAGCTTGCAACCACTAGTTCCTGTACTAGGAAACTTAATCTATAGCCTACGGACGAGCAATTAAAGGATATACGAGAACATCTCGTAGTAAAGGGATACAAGAAGCTATATGGATAGCTTGAGAAGAAGGATTAGATAAAGAAGGGAACGAAGCTACCAGGGCATTTTGAATACTAATAGTACATATAATATAGTTTCCTGGCTTTGGGCTTGCGGAGCCGTCCGGGGCTGGAGCTAGGCTTTTTTGGGAACTGAGTATACTACCGGAAACATCTGAGGACACTCTGCTTCCTACTTCTTTTGGTTCTATTAGCTTAATATAAGGCATTAGGGAATAACGGTTTCTTAGCTCTTAATTAGGGGAGATAGACTATACACATACTTCTTTTGGCTAGGGGTACTCCGTGGGAGTACTTTACTAGCTATTTCTTTTATATATAGAATTAGAAGCCTCTGGGGGGTATATTATATATACGGGTACTAGGGAGCTTAGCTTCGCTTACTCAGTGGCCCCTTTTATTTAGCTAGATCCAGAGGCTTCTTTTAGAGCTTCTTTTAATTAGATAATCACTTATATAAATTACTATTCCTTACTATTTTATAATATAGATTTATTTAAAAACTCTCTAGAAATATTAATAGAATATTTAATTTAAAAAGAATTACTAATAAAATAACTTAAACTAATAAATGCCTTAGAAAAAGTTAATATTATTTCGAATTATATAATATTCTAAAAAATTAACCTATTATATTTTTCTTTATTATATTCTCTCTAATAGTTTTATTACTAGTATATATATAGGGCCTATAAGATTATAGAATAAGACTTAAAAGTAATAGTTAGATTACTAGCCTATAAGTATCTATTATTCTAGAACTTAATTAAAGAATAGCCTTTATTTAAAGTTCTTTAATTTTCGGGTTTTTAAAAGAAGTTTCTAATATATTATTAATATATATTTATAAAAATATAAATACCTGATTTCTTTAAGGGTTCTAAAGCTTTTTACTTTTATTATTCTAGAGTCTATTACTTGTATTTCTAAGGTTCTATTATCTTAATAATATTTATATTTCTAATAGTTCTAAATTAGTTTATTTGAAATCCTCTATAAAATTAAAAGAAGTAAGCTTTAAATACTATTATAGGTACGGTATTTAGGGCTTGGAAAGCAAGGTAGAAGATTCCTTACAAAGACGATTCAAAGCTAAGGAAGAGAAAACTAGAATACAGGAGGCTGCGAGGGAGTATATGCACCCCGCAGTGCGCTAGTCCCGAAGGGGCTTAGCCTTCTAAATATCTCCAGTGCATTCCAAGCATACTTCCCTAGCGAGGCGGCCGCGTCACGTGGAGGCATCTGGCATCTGGCCAGGCATCTGGGCATCTGATGAATCGTGACAAGTAGGACCCACTACTCTACTTTACTCTACTCATTTGACACACTGGTAGAATTAGAAGTGTATTATAAAGCAAAATTCTAACTCTATTTCTGTAATAACATTAATATTCAATACCAGGATAGTAGGTCTAGAAGCCCATCCTCATACTAGGTGCTCATTATGGTCCCTCGGAGCCCGTTCTGGCTCCCGTGAATCCTTCTCGCCAGGAGTTGACGCTTTCGACAGCCGCGCGACCGGGGATGAGCACACCCAGGCAAGACGGGTGAGCAGAGGTGAGGCGGTGGAGAGCGCATAATGGAGGCCGGTGAGGATAGGTGAGGTTGAGGTGAAGCGAGGGTGAGTGTTGAACTACCTTATAGGCGAAGCACCAGAGGTCCGCACTATGAAGTACCTATAAGCCCACTGTGGAATTCTTCTTAGACGTGGAGCTGTGAGACGTATTGATCACTAATGGGAACCTTCCCATAATTAAATTTTTCCATGATTAAAAAGTTGTTAATGATTCGCCTTAGCGCCTCGCTTCCCCCTGCTAGCCTAGAATACCCCTACACGCCTGCACACCCTCAGAAGCGAGGAGCCTGAAGCTATACCCTAGAGCCTATAGGGGATAGACCTCGGGTAATAGAGGAGGGGGCAAAGGGTACTTAGGAGTAACTTTGCTCAAATCAATTAATTCTTCAATTATCTCTTTGAGAGCGTTGTTTTTTAAGCTCGTGGGAGGCTTCCGAGTCCTGTGACGGCGGGATCGAGGCAATGGTACAAAGGCTCAAAGATCCAGGAAAATCCCATGTATTGAGAATACTAAGCTAAAGAGAAGAAGGAGAGAGAGAGAAGGAAAGGGGATAAAAGAAGGGAAGTACTAGCTAAAACCACTGAAACGCCGGCTAGCTAGGTGAAACCAGTCATGTGATAGCCACCCCCATATGGCCCCCAGCCAGCGCTGTCACAAGTCCTTACGCACTAGCTTAGCTTAGCTTACTAAGCGGGGACTTATATATATTAGCCTTTAGGAGATATATCACGTGATAAATACTCTTCTAACGGTTAAAATTTTCCCATGCTTAGTATTTAGCTATGATTACGCAAATACCACGATTTTACTACTTTTAATAACTAAATATTAATTAAAACTTGAATTTACTATTAAACAGTACTCTTTTCGGAAATTATAGTTATTTCATAAACATTTCATAATGCGGAGCCCTAGCGCCTCGCCTATAAGGTAGCTTAATAAAGCTAGGGTCACGTGCGTGCAATGTAAACCAAGTAAACGATACTGAATTGACTGCTGTTCTACAGTGGTAAGTAGCCCGTATATAGCCCTGAACGCCCTAAATCACATGCACTAATTACCCTATGCCAGCTGAACCGATTCAGCCTTACAGGGCATATTACAGGGTATTTTAGCTATCCCTTCGTCCGGTGAGACATTGCCAGGCGCTAGCAAGGGGGGTGTGGCTGCACGCAAGCCTCTTGAAGCGTAATAAAGCGAGGTGAGGCTTGCGTGCAGCCACACCCCCCTTGCTAGCGCCTGGCAATGTCTCACCGGACGAAGGGATACAGGGTATTAAGCCCCATAGTGCACAGCCCCATGGCGTTCCGTTCCAGGGCTTACTAAGCCTATTTGGGGCCTCAGGCCCCTAATTTCAAGAGTGAGCAGAGCGGCTATTGGTCACGTGTGCTGTGGCTTGGCGCACCCGCACAATAGAGGAACCGAACCCCTTTCCGGAGACCGGGCTGTTCATTGGGCTGTCTTGGACCCCCGAAAACCACTAAAACTAACTTCAACATGCGAGAGACAAACAGTGAACCTCGCACCACTTCTCCTCCACCCCTCTCCAACCCATTGAGACGCAGGCATATCAATCGTTCAAGATGCCTGCCTCAACCTCGACCGTCACGACCTCCAACATCCCTAAAAATGAGAAGACAGCACGGTTACGCAGCTCCCCTGACACCGAGACCGCCCCGCCCCTTGAGGTCAAGGAACATGATTTCTTCTGGACGTATACGGAGGAGCCGCACCGGACGCGGCGAATGGCTATCATTAAAGCACATCCTGAAGTACGTTCCTTTCTCCCTCCATCTACATCCCATCAATTGGTTTCCGTGAAAGAGTGGGAGTTAACAGTGACTTCTGGCACAGGTAACTAAGCTCTGCGGGCCAGAGCCCCTCACAAAATACCTCGTCCTGCTCGTCGTCACCATCCAAGTGCTCGCCGCCTACAACCTACAAAACACGCCCTTCTGGTCCCTGCGCTTCTGGAGCACCGCATACATCATCGGCGCAACGGCAAACCAGAATCTGTTTCTCGCCATCCATGAGATTAGCCATAACCTGGCGTTCAGGAAGGCGGAGCTGAATCGAGCGCTTGCTGTGTTTGCCAATCTGCCGATTGGGATTCCGTATTCTGCGAGTTTTAGGGTACGTTCCCCCTCCGTTCCTTTTGGGGGAAGATGAAGCTAACAGAGAGAAATTGAAGCCCTACCACCTCACGCACCACAAATCCCTCGGCGTCGACGGGCTCGACACCGACCTCCCCACACGCTTCGAAGCCGTGTTCTTGGACTCCTTGCTAGGAAAAGCATTCTTCTGCACCTTCCAGATCCTCTTCTACGCCCTCCGCCCCGTCTTCGTATACAAAGTGCCTTTCACATCTATCCACTTCGCCAATATATTCGCCCAGGGCCTCTTCGATGTCATCCTTGTGCGCTATACCTCGCTCCACTCTCTGTGGTATCTTATACTCTCGAGTTTCCTGGCCGGCAGTCTGCATCCATGTGCGGGACATTTTATCGCCGAGCACTATATCTTCACGCCCTTGCCCTCCTCCGCCAAAGATCCCTTGACAAACACGTCTATTCCGGAGACGTTCTCCTACTACGGGGTTCTCAATTATCTTACGTATAATGTGGGCTTGCATAATGAACATCACGATTTCCCTGCCGTGCCGTGGAGCAGGCTGTGGGAGGTGAACAGGGTGGCGAATGAGTTTTATCGAGATTTGCCACGGCATCGGAGCTGGGTGGGGGTTATTTGGAGTTTTGTGATGGATGAGAAGGTGGGGATGACCTGTAGGGTTAAAAGGAAGGAGGGGGGACGGATTGTGGGAAGTGGGAGTAAGTGGAGTCAGGCTGAGGTGGAGGCTTGATTTCATGTGGTGGGGGTGGATGGTGATAGAATGCGTAATGAGAAATGACAGATGTATAAAGGAGAGAAATGATTAATGGCGTTCAAGTGGGAGGACATGAACTGTACATACCGCAGCGCGCCTACGATCACTCGTCCTTTTCAGAATGGATCAATTAATCAGTATTCTTACTGACCCTCATTCCGCCCGTTCCTCGGCCCTTTTCTTGCATGTATAATTTCTTCCACGAGAAGTGCTTCACTCAAGGGAAAGCAGGAAAGTTAGTTGATTTGCGTCGATTCGCTTGCTTTGCTCTCCCAATGTACGTACGTTCCCCACCTCTCATCTCCTGATCTCCTCTCATCAATTGATTCAGTACGAGCATCAGCATCAGTCCAGCTCAGCTCAATCCAACTCCCAACCACCTTCGTATGAAAAGTAAAGAAAAGAAAAGAGAACCATCCGTTGAGGCGCAATACTAGAGTACAGGTGCGAGATAGAGAGATCGTCGACTTTCGTTCATGTGCTGGTGTTGTGTTTGTGTCAGGAAACACGCCGTGCTATGCCATACCCATCCATCTCGCCATTGATTCAGCCGTTCTACTTCCTTCCTTCTCAACCAAGCCCAGGAGACTCGATCAAGAAAGGCCATTCCTTCATGGTTCGAAATGGAAATGCCCACCAAAATGCAAGGTCACAGCCACCCACTAAAGCTTACATACCCACTCTCCCAACTCCACCCCAAAGGCAAAAAGGAGTTTAGAAGAAAAGATAGGCAAGCAAGAAGCTCACTAGACACAAGGCAGCAACGACCTGCAAGGGAACACCCTGGGGCGTCTGAACCCGATGCGCAATCTGGTTGACCGTCTCACTGCTCGTCTCGCCCTTCGCCACCTTCCGCATCCGCATTCCGCCTTCTTGTGCGTATGAAGCAATCGTGGCCTGTGCCTCCGCCAACTTCGCCTTCAGCTCGTCGTAGGAGAGGGGGACGGCAGGTGGGGGGTTGGAAGGCATTGCGGGATTCGAGGCTGAGGACTTGACGTCTCCGAGGGAGCGAGCGTTGGAGGGCTCGTCTTCAAGTCGTACGGCGGGGGCGCCTCCAACGGAGCGGCGGGTGTCGGGAGTGTAGGCTGCTTCTTCCGGGGAGGGCGAGCGCTGGCTTGTGTAAGCTGGGGGTGCTGTGTCGGGGGTCTGCGGATTCTTAGCAGTGCTGAGAAAGACATGAGGGGGAACCTACTGCGCCGTTGGTCAAGCCGTTGATGCCGTTCTTTAATGGTGTTGCTGCTGCAGCCGATACTCCTGGTGGGAGATAGACAACTCGGATCTTCTTCTCTTGGACAGAGGATTTCTCAGCCTGGCCAACATGCTCCCACTGTCTTGTGTCAGATGGCTGCAAATGAGCTTGGAATTTGTAGTACGCACAATTTCGTTAATGTTTGTGAACTCCTTGTCAGAGGTAACCGCGACAGATTGGACAAGGAACTTGTCTCTGCACTTTGCATCCAAAGGAGGCTCTACTTTCATGGCTTGGAGAAGAACTACGAGATGGTCAGCACCAAGACATATGCAACGTGCTCCCCTATAGATAGAACGTACCAACAACCTCAACCTCCTTTCCAGGCTCGATTCTTCCAGAGTTCGGACGGACACAGTATCTATATCACCCATTAATAACCCGATCTCTGCCTGCAAACGAGACGGCGCATACTGTTTTGGGGCAGTTGTCTTAACCTGTAGCACACCCATCTCGTCAGCATCTTTCCACATAACCTCTGTAGGGTCGGAGAGCGCTTACCTTGAACGCAACAGGAGTATGGTTGGCATTTTTAATCTTGAGGGTTTGCGAAACCTCCGAGGTGAACGGCCCTATTCCCATCAGTCCAGCTCCTCGCACAGCAGCAGATGTACCTACGCTGAAACGCCAGCTCCTGGGGATCGATCTCGACCGACATTGCGAGTGATTGTGTTATCCGAAATTGTGTCGGTTGGGTTTCGCTTTGTAAGGACGTTGGACTTCGGCAGGCACAGAATCAACAATGCAGTTGCAACCTAGCCTCGCAGCTGCCTTTCATACAGCACAAAGAGAGGGGATGTGCAGAGGACGCAATTTGCAACCAAAAGGTATCTCGTGGTGTTGGTTCAAGGTGATCGATCGCACGCAGGGCAATTCGTGATTGTTTGAGATGGCTTGATCACAAGAGGTCGCTCGCGGACGTGCCCGTGAGATCTCGCCTCGCTAAACTTCAACGTCATTGTCGTTCTAAACTGACACGGCTGCGACAGCGGTGACCTGATTCTAAAAACGAAAGATTTTCGACCCTTCGAGCTCTTTTCGATCACCACCTTACAACCTTTCACAATCTCGCACATAATCATAACTTTTAATTAAATTCAACCACAATAAAAAAGCATCATGGCAGGAGACCTAGAGGTCCTCATTGACATGGGGTTCGAGAAGGCTCGAGCAGACATGGCAGTCAAGAAGACTGGCGGTTGTAAGTCACTTTCCCCCGCCTATATTCTTCTACAAGTCTAACACAAGACTACAGTACAAGGAGCTCTCCAGTGGCTCGAGGACAACCAAGACAAACCCCTCGACGAGATCGCCGGCGAGGAGAACAATGACGAGACAAACCCCTCCATCGAGCCCGCCCCACTGAAGGAAGGTGAAGTCGCACGATCCATGGTCTGCAATGAATGCGGCAAGAAGTTCCGAAGCATGGCGCAGGCCGAGTTCCATGCGTCCAAGACGTAAGTCATGATCTCCACAAAGCGGGGTAGACGGGTATATCCTTGAGCAGAGTGGGCTGACCATTATTCTTCATATTATAGCGAACACGTCGATTTTTCCGAATCTACAGAGGAGATCGCACCCCTGACCGAAGAAGAAAAGAAGGCAAAACTCGAGGAACTGAGAGCTAAGAACGCAGAGAAGAAAGCCAAGCAAGCTATTCTCGACAAGGAGGAGCAGCGGAAGAACGAGAAGATCCGCATGAAGTCTACGAAAGAGGTTCAAGATATCAAGGAAAAGCTCGCCCAACAAGAGCAGATCAAAGCCGCTGCCGCAAAGCGCCAAGAGAAGCTCAACGATATCGCAGCTAAGAAGCGGATTCAAGAGAAGATTGCAGCAGACAAGGAGACCCGTCGTCTGAAGGCTGAAGCTCAAAAGGCTGAGCGGGAAGGAAGAGCACCGCCACTTGATCCATCTCTTGCCGCCGCTCAAGCTGCCGCTCCTCCATCTAGTGGAAGTGCGCCCAAGAAGGAGGTTACGGAGGCGAGATTGAGACTGCAGACTGCGGGGGGTGTAGTCATGAAGAACTTCCCCGTAGAGACAACGCTTTTTGAGGTTGCTCAAGCTCTCGAAGGGGATAATGGAGGGGTGCCGGTTGAGAGCTTCACCATGACATACCCCAAGAAGACGTTCTCTGGCTCTGTAGACTTTGGCAAAACGTTGAAGGAGGCGGGGTTGATCCCTTCTGCGGTTTTGATCGTGAAGTAGTCTTGGAGGGCTTTTGCTGGTGGGACTCGGAGTTGGCATTTGGGCGTGATTTGCTGCATATTGCATGGACGGAGTTGCGGATTTGACATCTGTCCTAGGATGAATATAGGCATAGGCGCCTGAGTTCAGCGTTGACCATTTCACAAATCGGAAAATAGAGTCTCTATTCTCTTGAGAGCAAGTGCCCGAGCATGTGTCTTATTGATGGTGAGCAAATGCATTAGTTCCTATTGCAAAGCTCTCGGCATAATAACTCCTAACTCCTAGCAATTGGACCTATACATTGAAGAAGACTTTGTATCTTTCTTTCCCACGCCCATTCGTCCATAACGCCTTGGAGCAATCTGGTAACAATGCCATTCCTGAACGCCATTGAAGGTACCCCCCTTATTTGACTGTAACAAAACTCAACCATTAATCCTCTGCCTCTTGGTATCACCACCAGCATCACCTCCCACAGGTCCATTGGCAGGTAAATCCGTCAAAGGCGTCCTGTTCGCTCCATTATCAACCGGCCTCTTCAATGGCTGCTTAAATGATCCCCTATTCGCCATCGGACTAAAGCTCCCAGGTGCACCAATCCTTCTTGTCGCATCTAGCTGGGGGTTCACAATATTAGTCGTCTTTGGCCCAGGGCTGGCAGCCACAGCTTGAGATGAACCAGGTATATGTTTAAGATCTCGAGTCAGTGGTTTGGAGGTTTTGTGGTCGATTCCGGGAGTTTTGCGGATGGATGGGGATTCGGCGTGTGGGTTGAAGGCGGGGAGGTGGCTGGGTAGTGGTGCGGGGGCTCCCTCGGTGGTCTGGCCTTCGGGGAGCATGGCTGCTGCTCTGGCTGAGAAAAAGCCTGCTCCTTGTGGAGGCATGCAGGCGTCAGCGTCGTCGGAGGGTCTGTTAAGTCGAGCTGGAGAGGCCGGTGCTGAAGGTGGACCATTCCGACTTGGCTGGTTGAGGACGCGTCCAGCAACAAGAGGGCGTGACTGAAGTCCCGAATCTGCTGGTGGACGCATAGCTTGACCTGCTCCGCTGTTCGACCTCGTAAATCCACTATTGGGCGTTTGAGGTTGAGGTGCCTGATTATTGTTGCCTACAGGCTGACCTTTTCCTGGGCCAGGCCCTGGTGGAGGGTGACTGGCAGGTGGCCTATTTATATTTAGGTTGCCTCCGTTTGGGGCAGAAGGGCGGCCTCGAACACCATTGAAATGGTGAGATGCAGCAGGTAGCTCAGGAGGAATAACCACCTCGTCCGGATGGGATTCCGGGTCTGCAACACTGAAGTCTGCTTCATCAAAATCTAGAAACTGTTAACAAAGTACAACGCGAACGAGGTGCAACACTCACCTCCAAATTCGTCATCGAAGGTATCCTCAGTGGCTTCAGAAGTCAGCTACTCTCCTTCCAGAGTGAGTTTATAGACTCACAGATACTCGCACCAGCAGCTCCATTCTGTGATTTCTCCTCCAACAGTTTAAACCCCGGCTCCAGCTCCTTCTTCATCGGCGTAGGCACAAACGTAGAATGTCTGTGCAACTTCTCCACATCCCACTTCGTAGGTTGTGCCTTGACCTTAGTAACATGCTTCAAATACTCCTTATCATAAATGCAATTGCCGAGCACATTGCCAAAATTCCTGAGGGCTCTCTTCAATGCATCCGTCGTGCCCTCCTTCTTTGCCTTTTCAAACGCCGCCGCCTTTCCCTTGCAGTTCTCCATGTGTCCGTACCCGACATCCTCATGAAAGGTTCCATCTCGCAGTGTGACTCGTACAATAACACTGAGACCTAGAGAGACCTTAAAGGTCTGCGGATTCTCGTCTACAAAATCGACTTGTACGTCCATGATCTGGCTGGACCAGCCGTTGAAGCCGAAGACTTCGTTGGCGAGTTGGATGCATTTCTCTGCTGCTAGGTAGTGTACCTTTTGTCCCGAGGGTCCGGCTCTTGAGGAGATGTATTCTGGGCCCAGTTGCTTTTCGAGTCGGCTTTGGAGCGTAGCAATTTCTTGGGCTGTGTACTCGGAGATTCGAGGCTTGACGTCTTCGAAGGGATTTGTTATTGTTTTCCCGCCTGTATTGAGATGCTGGTCGCCGACGCTACAGAAGTTAGCAAATGAATATCTAGTAAAGTTGGGCAAGAGCATACGCAGGCATCTTGAAGTGATAACTTAGCAAAGAGACAAAGCTTCCGCGTTTACATTGATTGAGGTGTTGATGATAGATGGTTGGTCGTCGCGTGCGGAGTTGCTGAAGTCGCGATTCCTTGCCGCCTTAATTCAAGGCAGACGCCTCGACACGTGACCATCCTCGTACAGAATAATACTACCACCTTAGAGGCTCGTTACAGTTCCAGGTTCAGCCACTAATAAATCGTGTTTAGTATCAGATGGTATAGAATCAAGTCGATACACCGTTTCTTCATTGGCATTTGGCATTTACGGTTAAATCTGCTTTAGCACTTTTGTTCAAATTTTCATGGAGAATTTATCAATACATCATCACATGCAGACACTTGCCTCACATCGCTGTAATCACTCTCCATGGTCCTAGTCTAAGCTACCACACCCAATTCGCTCTGGCAGAGAGAGTGTACTCCTGACATTATTTGCCGCCTTTGCATGAAGGCTCAAATGCATAAAAACCAAATTCATCCGAGAAGCCCAACTCCCAAGCATGCTCGAAGAGCTCTGACAAAAGAAAATGGGAATCTTCGTAAGCTTCGTAAGTACTGCCGTAGGGCAGGTACTGTAATAAACACTAGACGCCGATGTGTGAACAGCTGCCTTCTATAGCATCCCGAACCGATGTGACAATCTCGCTGCTTCGTATGTACCCCATGGAAATGGGCCTCGGGTATCATGATCCTGAACCACTCATGTCACCTCTCTACCATAGTCCTACGCGGACGGGTAGATTACCTGAAGGTGCGCCATATGTGCCATTCAGAAGTTGGTTGCGGATCGAGTTAGGATCACTGGAACCGCCTCCACCACCCACACCGCCCATCCAACTCAGTTCCGATCCAAGAGCATTGACAGCGACCTGCATTCGACCACCGCTCTGCTCGTTGTGCTTCTGAAGTCTCTGGTCCCATCCGCCGGAATGTAGCTGGAAGCCTCCTCCGCGCTTCGATGCCTCACTGATGACTAGAGCCCAAGCCCTCGAAATCTCGTCGTAAGCATTGTCTTTGTGGTGTTTATGTGATTGACTGTCCCATTCCGGGAGGTCGTGAATGACTTTCGTTGCGTTATCGAGGTAGTTGAGGGAGACGGTAGGTTGGGTTTCGTGCGGGGGTAGGTAATGCGGCGTAAAGTCGGTCAGGGCTTCGATGAGATCAAGCAACGGTTGCTTGACTCGATTGTAGGCATAATCTGAGCCAGCGTTACCGCCGAATGGGAAGGCTTCTCGTAGCTTTTCTTGGTATGAGGAGAGGACGTCGATGGTTGCGGCAACGGAAGGTCTTGGTGCTGAGTCCACCACTTCAGCACCGATCTGGGGATGTCGTTCACATATTGTTTGAAGGACGGATCGTAGAGACTCGGCGTCAAGTGTTTCGAGGAGACGGGGGAGTGCGAGGGGACGGCCGGCGACTTCGTTGGCTCTTGATCTCTTCGCAGGTCGAGCAATAGTGCGAGGAGCAAAAGCGGGGGAATTCTGGGGTGAGATGCTCATGCTGTCGTCGATGCCATCGTCGTCGGCCTTCCGCTTTCGAGATCCCATTCTTGAGCTGGATGTGTGAGGAGAGGCTGATACAAGCTGTTAGTAACAAAGCTCCTACGTCGTTGTGTCGTCGTGTGCTTGCTTACCAGGATTGTTATGTTGGTCGTGATGATGAAGTGGGAATTCGGAGAACGATGACGGATGCGTGGGCAGCAGAACGTTCATCTTGCTGAAGATCGCTTGTCTAGGCTAGCTAATGGGTCTTATAGTCCCTGTATTGTGTTGTTGATTGTCGTGGACTCGAGATGGTGATTGCACTGTTGATGCTTTGGTACAACGGAGAAAGGGTGCGAGGATTCGGTACAGCACAAACCTAAATTGCTTTCGAGCTAGCGAATTTTATGAGACGAAGCCACCCGAGGGCCCAAAATACAGTTATATGCGAAAACTCCCTGTTTTAGCGAGTTTTTGACGAAAAGCGGTATACTTAAAAATGGGTATACCAAAAGTTACCTAAATTATCTTTAATCACTAATTGCTTTACTAAACCACGTCCGAATTAGATGAGAAGTGGATTAATTTACTCCCCTAAAGTAGCTCTTGCTAATAATAAGAGCAGATTATAGCTCCTTACCTAAGCCCGTACGAAATCGCGGCTATTAATACTATTATTATATAACCTTATTACCCTGATTTATATGAGATTATAACCCGATTTAATACTACTTATGAAACCATATAATATTAGAGATATTAGATACAGGTTCGGAAAGCTCTTGGCTAGGATTCCCGGAAAAAACCAGGCTATTAATTAATAATTATACCAGAAATAGAAGAAGTAGTAATAGAGTATATTCTGAGATATATTAATATTTACTAGGAGAAAATTATTAACTTTCTTAATAAGGAATTCGGTATTAAACCTTACTAAATAATAATCTCGTATCTTTTAAAGAGATTAGAGATTATATATAAGAAAATTAAGGTAGTAGTAATAGAGTAAAACCAGGAGCTTCTTAAGTAATAGTATAATAATTCTCGATTTTAGAAAGTAGATTAGATTATTACTATAGACAAATTAGCTTTTAATAAGTATACGAGATATAGGAAATATAAATAGGTATTTTAGGGCTTACTTGCGGAGATAAAGATATTTTTAAAGTAATCTCCTAAATAGTTTCTTTTACTAGTATATATAATTAATAGGTACCTTAATTCTTTGGTTTATTAAGGTAATATTATAGCCGAGATTTTTAAAGATTAAATAGAAAATAGGGTATTTCCGTAATATAATTTATAGCTAGGCAAAAATTCAATTATTATAATAAATAACTATAGTATATACCGGAGTTAGAGAATACTTAATATATATTAGGTATAGGGTATTTGGATATACTAGTTATTTCCTTATTACCTAATTTTGAACCTAATTAAGGAGAGCTTTTATAATATTAAGTCTAATATATGAAAGAATTATAGGAAAGTCTATAGGAAGTATCTAGACTTTAGAGATTATCTAATTAATATTATTTAGAGGCTTAAATAGGGGCCAGAGGTAGCTAGGAAGGCTAGGGGGCATTTCTATAATTTAGGATATTAGAATTTCCCTATAAAATTAGTATAAAATTAATAAAATTACTATACTTAATATTACTTAAAGTTCTAGTAATTTTAATATTATAAAAAATAGTTCCAAAATCACTTATTACTTTACTAGAGAGCTAATATTAATACTAATTAAAAAATACTATGGTTCTTAATAATTATAATTACTATTAAAAAAACAAAAATATATTTAGAATTATAGGAAATAGCTCTTTTAATTATTCTAATATATAAAAATCCTATAGTATAATTATAAAAATATTTAGTATAAGAGAAAAACTTTAAATATTAATAATCTTAACTAAAAATAATAACTATAATACTAGTAATAAATCTCTTTAAAAGAGCCTAAAATCCTGTAATCTAATTAGTCTATTTCTCGCCTTCCTAGTCCTATAATATATGGAAATTAAGGCTTAATTCTAAATATTATCCTCTATCTAACCCCTAATTAATTTGTAATTATTATTAAATATTCCAGGAATTATAAACTTTTTCTAATTCTGCTTCTATAAGTTACCTATATCCTAGTAAAAGCTAATCTCGTCTTTAGGATATATACTAAAGATAATATCTAGTTAAATTAAGTTTCCTGCTTAGGTATTCGGAATAGTACTTTGGGAGGGGGCTACTATATTAGTAATTAGTACCGGAGTACTTATATTTAATATAGAAGATTAATTAATCTCCGAATTCTATATAATATATTAAGAGAAAACCTAATTCTTTATAATAAGGAGAAATCCCTATAGAATACTATACTTTTTAGCCTCCGATTTCTCTATTACCTTTAGCTATTTCGGGTTAATCTGCTTCTCTAATATTATAGCTATTAAATTACTAATATTAGCTTATTAATTTTAAGGTAAGTAAGTATCTAGCTATACCCTAAATAATACTAATTTCTCTCTAATATTAGTATCTCTATAAATTGGGCTAGATTTTTATAAAGCATATAAATTAAAGATACTAGAGAAATACTTAGCTTAATAATTATAATCTTAATACCGGGAATATAGAAAAGTAGAAAAAGAAGGTTATTAATATTAAAAATAAGGCAAATTAGCTTATAAATAGGGAAGAAGCTAGTTTTACTAGAGGAGTTTAGCTCAATAATATAAAGCTTACTTAATAGCTATAAACTCAGGAAAGGGAATTAGATTATAATTAGCGGGATATATAAGTAAATAATAAGATAATAGTACCTATAGGATACTATATAAGCTAGTAAAGGGCTTTTTTCTCTTAAATTTATTACTATAGTAATTATAGTTAATAATAGGTTAAGATAAGTCTTCTCTTAGTTTATTCTTTACTTTCTTTTTTTCTTTTACCTTTCCTTTACTCTTATTTCATTATTTACTAATTTTCTATTAATTTTCGCTATATAATATCTATTTAATAATTAAATTAGTAGGAATAATAGTAATATTAGCCTTATTAGGAAGCTTATCTCTTTATTAATCTATCTATTTATAGAAGTTATTTAATTTAATCCTGAAATAGTTTCCTTTATAAATAAAATACTATTAATTCCTATTTGGGTATTTTTTTTTTTTTCCTCTATTATATCTCTAATACCGCAAAAATAGGCTTAATCTTTCCTAATATCTCGATTATATTTTTCTATTCTTAACTAAAGATATAATAGTAATAGTAGTAGCTATTTTCCTAGCCTTTTTAATAGGGGAAATACTTTTTTTAGTATTACTATTATTATCTAAATAAACTAGCTTGGGAGGATCTAGTATTTTTCTTCTCTTTCCTAATACTTTCTCTAGTTCTAGTAATAATTCGGGGTTTTCTTTAGTAATAAATCGAGCTTTAATAATATAATTAATATCTTTTAAGCCCCTAGAAACTATTATTTTTTCGAATCTCTTAAAGCTTTTCTTATCTTGGATATAGAAGATCTATTAATTACTTAAAGCTTTATATATTTCCTTCTATTTTCTCCTAGCTTTAATCTCCTTATCCGTCTTTATTGCTTTATTAACCCTTATCTAAACCTAGCCCTGCCAAAATCGGTATTTATTATATAGAATTAATAAAAAATCCTCCTGAAAAGACTCCGAATAAACTAGCTTATAATTCAGGTAAACCTGCCAGTTTACGGTAACTATATAGGTCTTAGCTTCGGGCTCTAGAGACTCGCTAGATAATAATGACGATATTTTAATAGTATACTCCCTTTGGGAATTAGCTCTGCTAGTACTAGTATTAGGAGAAGGCTCTTTTGGGGGCCTACTAGTAGTCATAAGCTTAATTTTAGGCTATTTGGGAGCTACTAGAGCGGAGGAGGCCTTAGCTATAGGTTTTCTCTATCGTTTTTTGCCTACTAAAGGCGGTGGTTTCTCGATTTTTTTGCTCTTTAAACGTGCCATGATAGGAGCTTGCGAATAAAGTCAAAATTGCCTAATTAGGATAGTGCTAGAGGTGGTAGTGCGATTATTGGGTGAGTTTTGTTAATTATTATTAATTTTTGGTAGGGTGCGTACCAAAAGTGCATGATGCGGCTAAAATTCGCTAAAACAGGGAGTTTTCGCATATAACTGTAACACAACGTAACCATAAAAAGCACAAATGAGCTGTCAAATCCAAACACTGCAACCCTGTCAGTGATTCATTTGTTCAAGAGAACACTAGTGAATAACGAGACTCATAAGATGGCAACCGCCTGTTGAATCTTCTAAGTCCGAGAATGTTCGACAGTGGCAACCCCTCTCGTTCGGCACGATCCGAACTTCATCAACATTACGAATGCCTTTGCAGCCTCTCAAGGAGCGATACTTTGGGATCAAGAAATGATCTAGGATGGTTTTCCTTCTAACGTGGTCAATGTTGCACCTGCACTTTGAACCTCCTTGAAGCCAAGAAGCTCTTCATCGACCAGATCCGGAGGCCCTTTTTTAAGGCCATATCAGACTCCTTCAACAATCTGGACCCACATTTGGTTGATATCGACATCATACACATTAAACGGCCTCGGGTTGCACACAACATGGGGAAAATTCAAAACACGAGAAGCAAACTCACTCAGCTGACTCGCCGGATATATCACCCTAGACAGTTTCACTCTGCACCAAATCATCTGGCTTGCTCCGCCTCCAGGGAAAATACTGCACAGCAACCCAATGTACCAAGCCGCTCTCAAACATTCTGGAGTATCTCCTTTGTAGTGAATCTCGAGCTCAGCGTTTGCTGCACATCGCTCCAATGTTCTAAAAGATTCTAGGTCATTTAAGAGTAAATCCCTACAGTCTAAGTTTTGTAGTAATATTACATCGCCCCAATGTTCCAAGAAGGTCTGGATACTTGTATTGAGATCGCGTTCTTAAATTTGACAGTGAATTTTTGAAGCCGGTGCAGGTTCTGGAGCCTCGAGCTTGTCATTGCAGTGGAGAGTGCATATTCGAAGTTGAGTTTTTTGCTGCATGCTCAATGTTCCAAAGTTTCTGGGACATTGAGATTGGGGTTAAAGTGGAAAGTGAATTTCCAAATTCAAGTTTCCTGTGTATATCTAGAATCGAGGCCGTCGATTTTGTCGATAGGAGAAAACATGATTTCAAGACTCCCAATGTTTTGTTTAACAACCTCGATGCTCTGGTACAATAAAATGAAGTCAACCAGTGGCGGTGAACCTCAACCTCGATACGTGGCCTTTCATTGCATATCGCATCCTTCATCCGAAGTTTTGGAGTAGAATGAGAGATTATATATATCTTCTCATCCACGACCTTTCTTCTCAACTCTTGGGGACGAAATGAAGGTGGCCACAATAGTGGTATTTGTTAGTACAGTAGGAACATCGACTTCGTCTGCGCTGAGCTAAGTTTTCTCCTCATAGAGCTTTTGTTGCAGATCGGCTCAATGTCCCAGACGGGTTTAGAACATTCGCCACAAATCCATGAAATCTCGGACTCACCCAAGAGCATTCGCTAGGGTGACTCGAGTTGGGTTTTCAATCAAAGTGTTAATCCATGTGTACCATCAAATCATCATTTGTGTTATTCTATGCATTTCGAGGACCCGTCCTCTAATCTTATTTTGCCTTTTAGCCCGGGGACCGTGCGTTCAGCACCTCCTTTCCTCCATCACTACATCTACAACCCTACCAAACTCACCATCGACCTTGCAGGCACCGTTCTCTCCCAAGCCCCATTCTTCCCAGCAGTAATCTGGCCCGAATCCTTCAAATCACTCTCATTATCAGTCAAGATAACACCTGGACTTGACAGAGCTTTCCCGCCGTCGAGAGTCAACTCAACATCCATAGCATCCGCTGAATTATTGATAACCTGCACCGCAACAACCCCATCCACATTCTTATACACACTAACATGCACCTCCTCATTCCCACCACTGGCATCAATCCTCACCGCGCCAGGTCTGACAAACCGACTAAACTACGCCATCGCCCACAGCCGTATGGTTAAAGTAGCAGTCATTCGTCCAGTTTCCACAGAGATCAGACCATTTTGTTTGCCAGACCGGCAGCGTGGCGTTTAAGGTGCCGCTAAGTGGCGAGCTGTAGCCGCGAGAGCTCACGACTGAGAGAAGATTCTCTGCGCCAGCAGCTTGGATACGGGTAAGCATTCTGGCTTGCGATTTCAAGCCTGTTGCATCGCAGCAGGTGATTTTCGTGTCCAGACCTGCTGCTTTCAGGGTCGGTGCTAAAACGCGTAGGAAATCTGCGCATTTCATGCCGTTCGAGTTCATACTTGCGTATCTCTCACACAATTCGGGCTCGTTCACGAATCCTACGTGTGTGACTTCGATCCCAGAGGCTTTGTAGTAGAGAAGGTATTGCACCAGATAATCGGCGTAGGCTTGTCTCCAGTCTCCTGATGCGCAAGAGGTGTTTGTTACTCCGCACAGAGAGTCGCCGTTTATGTCGTCGTAGTCGGTCTTCACGTATCATGGCGCAGATCATGCATCTGTTGCGAAGGTCTTCACGCCTTAGCTAGCTGCGATCTAGGAGAGCCAGAGCTGCCCGCTGTCACTGCCATTCCAGTTATAAAACGGTGCAGCAGCTGGGGAACCTGGTGAGAGGGGCTGGATACTGTTCACGTAGTCGAGGGCAGAAAAATTGGCCGAGCCGATGCCATTGCAGATGATTGTGAGGCCTGCTCCTGTTGTCTTAATGAATAGCAGATCTAGAGACTTTTGTTCTGTTCGTTGGTGAGAGACCATATTTCCCGTAGATTTGCTGAGCTTGTTGAAATGAGGTGGAAACTCCGAAGCCATCTACGCGCTTATATTGATGGGACGTGTCGATGGTGATACGGAGTTGTGCAGCCACTGCTAGGAGAGAAGAGAAAGCCTGCAGGGCAAGTGCAACAAAAAGTAGGGAGCTGAGCATCCTGTCGTCAAGTTAGCGAACGATTCCTAGCTACAGGACCAAAATATAAAAAATTAGAATCCATATTTTCCGAGATTTTATGAGAGGCTGTGGGGCGACAAGGCAATTTTGCCTGTATGCGGTTAGGGTTCGCGAGGCTAGGGCAGACGAGAGTCTCGCGGATTATGCCGAACTCGTCGGTGAAGGAACTGAATGTGTTGTAGTCGGTTTTAATGTTGCTTATGCTTGTGCAAGCGGCTGAGGCGATGGAGAGGGGGGGGTCAGCAGGTGCAAAGTCGTTACCATTGTCGACGGGAGAGAAATGGCCATTTGATGAAACCTTGTAGTCGGAGATGTTGACTTTGGGAAGATTTCCAGAAGGAGAGGATTACTTTCAAGTTAATAGTTACATAGGAATGCTTCTGCCAAGGCTGGCGAGCATCAAAGATACGACAAGTTCAGCAACAATAAACCTGGATCTCTCCTATCGAAGACTGTGCCGGGCTGAGTGTCCCATGCCTAAAGGGGCCTTAGCGAAGCGACGATCAAATGAGAAGACCTAGCTCGTACTATCCACCAGCCTGGACAGCTAGGCAGAGGCGCAATGCAGTCTAAGTTAAATTGGGCTCTTTTGGCAGACCAGATTCTGGGTGCTGCCAAACCTCTCGGGTTACAACAATTTGGCAGTGTTGTGAAAGTCCATGCATTTAAAACCGTGAGCTGCTGACACATCTCTGAATAAATATTTCAAAACACAACTCTTCCTCGCTTAAGATTCAGGGGCAAACGCCCGTGGCGCATTGAACTCAAGCCACTGAGGCGCAATATCTGGACCCTAAATAGACGCCAAATCCTCTCTGCTCATTATGTGCCCAAGTAAATAGCATATTAAACTTAAACTTATAAGGCCCCTTAAGCTTCTATAAGCTGACTATATATAGCAGAAGCTCAAATTTTAAGAATTACCACTGAAGAGAGTGTAAAGTATTTAAAGTCTATGATTTTAATCAAGTGCGATCTCGGGGTGATTTTCAACTTTACAAAACGCGAAAATTTCTGTGCGAGCCCGTATAAAAATAATCACGTGTTTTATAGCTCTCCCAATATTAAAGATATTAAAAATCAGAGAATGGGCAGTTAATTAATATAAAATATACGATAATTCCGATTAGTACGATTTATATTAATTCATTTTGTCGTTGTTATGTCGGACCGACTATACCTAATCTCAAACACTGCTCCTGGCAGCGGCCTTGTTTTCTCATCTCTCCCCTCCACACGGCCCAAATCCACAACCCTCGAAATCACGCACGACATCCTTGAACTAGACCCCTCTCATCATGCCCTTCCGTCTCGGGAGTTTCTTCTAGCCAGTAATACTGAGATTCTTTGAAGCCCAGTCCGTATCTCTGTGTTCTCCTCATCCGTCCCTTCTTTCTCCTCCCCTCCACTTTTGCCTGCGCCATTCAGAAGCTGAGCTCAATCCCCGTACGTCCTCTAATCCCACCCCCTAATCTTCTCATCCCCATCCAACAACGTAGCTTGCGTGCCAGTATTCCGCACACAAAGGAGAAGTATAAGTATGAGCCCCAAACCTTACCGAGTTGAAGGGGGAAAGCTTCAGCCACATCGAATGCTGCGTTACATTGGAGAACAATGCTGAATGTTGATTCAATGTTCAACTGAAAACCTTCACTCACACTCCTCCACGCCATCGACCTCAACATCCAAGACCTCGGACATTGAGTTGATGCCTGTGCAACAAAAATGTGACTTCGATGGTTTGTTTACTCTTAAGCAATAATCTCCATGTCCCAAACTTTTAGAACATCGAGTCGATGTGCAGCAATAGTTTAACTTCGACAGCGGCTGGCACGCTTACTGAGAGCGAGGTGAACAGGAAAAGTCTAAGCCACGCTTCACGACGCCCAATCGAGACTATTTCAACGGTACAAGCAATGCCACGGGCCTGCAAGGCCTGAGCAACAGAACCTAAGACACGATCAAAAAAATGTCACGATTCTCGGAAATGAGTAAATACTATTTGCAATTATCTGGCTTTATTCGTTGAAAGCATTAATCATTCCCGGCTCTATTGTGTGCAATGAATATCTCGTGCAGAAAATACCCTCGAACTCCCCATCCTCGATCGCAGAAGATCCACCCTCCTATAAGCCCCAACTAGAATAAATTTCCGAGCGTAAGACGGTAAATCCTCTCAACCTTCGTCTCTGGGCCACCCTTCTTCTCGGCCTGCGCTGCCAAGAACTCCGCCTCCTCAGCATCGATTCTCGCCTTTCCACCATACAAGTCTGCCTCCTCAGGCTTGATAAGCTTGGACTTCATAATAACTTTATACCCGCAGAAAAGAATAATGTAAATTGGGAGGCCCAAATAGGTCGTGACGAAGGTTCTCGAGTCGAATGTGGGGTGGGTTCCTTTGGCTGCCGTCTTCTTATAGGCGAACAGAGCGAATCCTTTGAAGAACATAATGAGGGTGCTGAAGATGAGCGCTCCGACTGATCCCCACATGCCCAGGGGTGCAACGTAAGCTAAAGCCGAGTCCGGGATGTTCTGTGCTTTGCGTGCTCGAACAAAGAAAATGTGGGAAATAAGGATCGAGATCCAAGTCAATAGTCCGAACATGGTGACGAGGTTAATGAAGTAGCCGAAGACGGTGTATGATGCGGTATTAACACCAAGATAAGCCAAGAGACAGAAGCAGACGGAGAGTCCCAGTGCTGGGACGGGGACCCCGCGACTATCTGTCCACTTGAAGATTTTCGGGGCCTTTCCTTCGTGTGCGAGCCCATAAAGGGTACGGGATGCGATGTAGAGATCTGAATTTGCTGCTGAAAAGACGAAGATAAGGATAGCCGCATTGAGTATCGCCGGCAGTGTGGGGATGCCACTAATGATGATAGCAACGACGAATGGGGAGGCAGCAGCCGTGGTGTTAGCCTTGTTGGCATCAATCAATTTCGTGGAATTGTACGGGACGAGCATTCCTAGGAGGAAGACAAGAACCACATAAAAGAGGAGGATACGGTAAAACGTGAGCTTGATGGCTCTGGGAATGTTTCGGCGAGGATTGGATGCCTCCCCAGCTAGAACAAGTCAGAACTCTGAAATTCGATTATGTCAAAGTAAATGAGAGTCCGTTCTTCAAGTACATACCAGTAACACCAACCAATTCAGTTCCCAGATACGCAAAGACTGCAGTGGTGAAGGTCGACCACACGGCCAAAAATCTCCCTGCGCTGCCAGCTGGAATTTTTGTCAGTATCCTTTCACTCTCCCCAACGAGGCCATTTACTCACTCAAGATGTAGGCATGAAAGGCACCGGGATTTTTCCAGTATTGAAATCCAGTTGCATGATGATCTGGGCCACCTCCGCATACAAGAATCAAGCTGAGGAGAATCAAAGCAATGATGACAATCACCTTGATTGACGATAACCAGAACTCGAATTCGCCGAAGAATTTGATACCGAAGTAGTTGATAAGAACGATGGCAACGAGGGCTACTGTGATGAAGGCTCCAGGATTGACCCTTGTCCGAGGCACCCAGTACTGGATGACCAGCGAAAACGCTGTGATGTTATTCGGAGTGACAATTATGTACTGAGGTACTTGTTAGCCAAGGCTGTGATTTGGAATAGGGTGCCCGAAATAAAGAGCAGGTCATCAAAACTGCACTCTGTCGGAGACTCTTCATATCCGAGAAGGTGCTTTTCACGAACCTTGAACCAATAATTCCATCCAAGCGTAAATCCCAGAGCCGGGTCCTGTCAAATATATTAGCATGGGGAATCTAGAAGGGCTTGACGGAGCTGAGCGTTCTCCTGTTTGGGTCCAGGAGACAAAGAGGACAAAGGCGTCAAGATAGCCCCTGAACCACCTTCCTCTCTCGGCCCTCACGGAAAACAGAACAATAAGAGAACAGTAGACTTACCACAAAGCGAGTCGCATAGCCCGTGAAGCCAGACGGAAGTGGCAACCAAGCAGCCATCTGCATATCAATGATCAGCGACACTGTCCGGCAAAATGCAGGTCTTCGGAGAGGGGAGGAACGTTGCATACCTCTCCCAATGCCGCCATAACTAGGAAACACAAGAACCCCACAAGCGTGTAGCCGATGAATAGGGGGGCGGGTCCAGCTTGGGCAAGAGACTTTCCACTGGGAATGTAGGTCAGCGGGCGGCCGATCACCTCAGCTGCCAAGAGGAGGACCAAACTCACGTTCCGATAATAAGACCAGTTCCAATTGCACCCCCAATTGCGATCATAGTAATCTGTCTTGCTTTCAATCCTCGGTGGAGGTGATGATGAGTGTCTTCATCGAAATCTCTGGGACTAGCAATGTTGACATCTTGGAGGTGGTCCCTCTTCTCGCGGTCACTTCTGAACTCGTCGGACGACTGGTCATTGTGGTTGACACCAGCCATCGTGGGCAGCGTGTTTGGTTAATCAGAGGGGTTGGATTTATGGGTAATGGGTGATGGGAGATGGAAAGAAAGACAGACAGAAAGAAAGAAGACGATTGAAGCGGAAGGGCGTCATTGACCTTTATTGAGTTTATCATGGCAGGCACGCTAGCGCGCCATGGGATTCATAGAGCAGCGCCTGGTCAGGCTGGAGCTGGGGCGCAGGGACTGCATTCCCCCGCCAAAATACATACAAACACCTTCCTCATGCGGCGCAGCAATGACGGATGGAGTCGTTTATCTCACGGTGCTTTTAGCCAAGACACTTGGCGGACAGGCAATTGGGGTCCACCCGCGGATTTTGCCCACTCTGAGCGAAGTCGTTTATTGGGAGAGCACGTCCTCACCAGTGCCCACCCACTGCCCAGCCAAATCCCAAGGCGCTAGAACGACAGAAACGGACCGCGAAAGCCTGTTAAGGTTCTGAGCCGAGGGAAAGTGACCTTGGCATAGCCTCATGGCTGCCTCTGCACTTGGCGGCCGCGAGTTGGGGAATAAAAGTCAGCAATCCTTCGTCAAAGCCTCACAAATAGCATCCAACGGCTTCGGAGTCGCCGGGCAGATTACATCCATTGGGGCCGTCACATGACATGCTTTGGGCCAGAGAAGAACGTATGGGTGAAGAGAGGAGACGAGACCAGAGACGAGCTGAGGTTGGAAGAGAGGTCGAAAGAGAGATCGGAACAAAAAGCGGGGCGGGCTGGCGTGGCTGGAGCCGGCAGTGGGTGGCGGCCAGCGGGAGCACGCCTCACCAGCCTCACCCAAGCGTCCACGTGATGGACCCACTCAATAAGGTTTTTTCTTCTTATCAAACTCTCATCAACCCTGGAGCCTCAACTTCTTGCAGTGCAAGTCGAGCCTCATGTCTATGCAGACAAGGAAGAGATCCACGATTATTGTCTGTTTGGTTGATCGCGATGTTCTACATCTTTCCACATTTGACCTCGATTCCAACACTTGTCACTCTCAAGCCCCTTTCCCTGCTCTGCGTGTTGCTTCTACGACGGGTGGAGGCAGGGTGTTCTCTTGGTATTGCGTACGTCGTGTGTCTTCCGCCTCGTTTTTCTATGCTTTGCAATGTCGCCCCGCCTTGAGGTTGAGTTCGAAATGAGTCTGAAGTTCATGTGGACTTGTAGACAAGATACACCAGTCTCCGAGCTGTGACTTCTCACACCCGCAATTGTGCAGTGGCACCTTGTTTCCAGCTACCCCTGAGTTCATATACAACGCCTCCTTCTTTGAGGTTCAGCTTCACCAGCTCAGATGCGAGGGCATATCAAAAAGCTTTCCACCCATAGTTCCGAAGAAGTTCCCTAGCCGGCTCTCCTTCTATGTTGCCGTATGAGACATTCTCGAAAAAAGTGTGTTTGGGTCTGTACTCTAAATGGGTTTCACCACACATTTCTATCCCCTTCCTAGACGCTAAAATTGCAGTGCAAAGTCGATTGGGGGCGGGAGGCCCTCTCTTGATTGGCTCAATCCTTCTCGATGCCGCTAAAACTGGAATGCGCTCCATTCGGCCGCCTCGCCGCACACCATAAATCCATGAAGGGAGAGACAAGACAAACCAGCTTGCAATGAGGACAAATGAAAGTAATGACAGGCTCGATCCCGAGTTGAAGCACCTATCACGTGATAGACTTGCTCAATGATTTGTCCCTCCTCACCTCCGCGAACCCGCGATGCCCGACACCCTCAGTCTTGCAGTGGAACGGCCATCTGGCTTTTAGACATCCAGTGCCGCGTCTGAAGAGATCTGAAGGGTTCCTATCTCAATGCCCACATCTAGCATCCTCAACTTCCAGTTCGCGCCAGTCTTCCCGCGCCTGAAGAGATCTGAAATGCTCCCATCTCATTGCCCGCATCTAGCCTCCTCAACCTCCTGTTCGCCCTAGTCTTCCCGAGTCTCTAAGCTGTGCAGGATTGCAGTTGTAGGAGGGATTCAAGAATTTGTTCCACTGAGTTTTGTATCATATGTCTTCCATTCTCCCTTGTCTTCCTTGCAGCCTGGATGACTTCCTGAGATTGGGTTCGAAAAGTGTTGGAATCAAGCAGGCTAGAAACTGCGGGCCATCAGCTCTCACACCAACGGCAGTCTCCCAATGTGAGGTGTAGTCGTGTTAATGCATGTAATCCGATTCTTTCGTTCAGTCTTGGTGGAGGTGGGGTTCCTGAGTCATATCAAGTATTAATTGGTGGGGCTGCCATTGTGAGTGGGTTATTGTCTCAAACATTGCGGCATTTCTTGTTCCAACCCGTCTCGGGCGTTGGGAACGGCCAGTACTATGGTATATCATATCAAATAAAGGCCTGGTGTCACCTTCTCAGTTGGGGTTGATGCATGGTATTGGTGCAAAATTGCTCTTGATACACAAATAATGCTGCATGTGATTGAAGTAACGATTGCATATGTGTTCTCAATCTCTCCTTGCTGCATGGCCGTCGAGCAGGAGTGCTTCAATACACACCAAGTTCTGCATGCAATTGCGGTGACGCCCTGCATATGTGCTCTTCCAAGTCTTCTGCCCGTCTTTTGCCCGTCTTCTAGAAGCACCTTCTATGCATATAGCTGACTACCTTCAACAAATTGACGTATCAGAACCCAATTTTCCGGGAGATCCGTCTCGTGTAGTTCCGGGATGCCACGTGGATGAGCCCATGTGGAGTCCATACTTGCATTGCATCATCGTGCATGACAGCATTTGACGGTACTTTGAGGGTATAGGACATGACTTCCGCGGCACCGAGAATTCGAAATGTCTGACTTACAGGATACCAAGTAAATTTCAAGCCACTGATGGTGACTTTGGCGACTTTAGGAGTCATGCCTACCACGCAGTCATAGTGCAGATCATTACAGTAGATATGTCGGCATCTGTAGCCGGTTCCGGGAGTCCGGGGGCTCGAAAAACGTGGCATTCGGGAAACCTGGATTTGGAGTACGAGGTTCGCTCGACGAACAGAAATCAGATTCCCTCTCAAACACCTCGAGCAAAAAATTGGCCGCACCTGGCCGTGTTCAACTTCGGTGAAGTCACGGGACCTCGGGTTCCAGCTCAAATCCCGAAAACCCCTGAATGCCTCGCTTCGGGCTTGTCACGGGATCTCCCGTCCAATCAAACCCTGATCAGCCTTGATGTTCGGGATTTGTAACGTCAGTATCGTACGACTTGCATAGAATAAACCTGGTTGGGGACATACTCATTGCAGTCAGACCCATGATTTCCCGGACTCTGGAGTTCTGTTATATCAGCGCGAGAACTCCCACTTTGGTGGCGATTTGGTGGTGATCCCAAGACCTTTTGTTTTCCAACCAAGTGTTACACGAACACGAAGATGGCGTATTATACTAGTGGCCAATGGCCTGCGGTCCAGACGTCAACATGGCCTGGCCCAGCCCCTTATCATGACTGGCAAAACTCAGCGATGAATGGTGGCTCGCCTGAGTCAAGCTCTGTAAGTCTTCCTACACAAGCTAAGGAAGCACGAGCTAAGACCCCCCAGTCAAACTCTCCTTCGCAGGGCTACTACGAACCCATGGATGCGGCAAACATAACTTCCTACACAGCCTCATCCTACTCCCAACAAGGAGCTGCTTCAAGCTCAGCCTATTACTCCCACGACTCAGAAGGACCATCAATTTCCTACCTCCCAACAACAGCCGACGACATCCCGTACTACTGCTCCGGAGATACCACCTCTTACGACCCATCAGCGCTCACCTCTCCCACTCAATATTCCTCAGAACCCGTATACCAAGACGACCAAAGCCAGTACGACATGACACCAGAACCAGAATCCTCGGGCCCGGGAAGGAGGAAATCCACGTCGAATTCAAGTTCGAAGCAGAAACGGCAGCTGCAAAACCGCCTGGCGCAGCGCGCATTCAGAGAGAGGCAGGCGAGGCAGCAGGAGGAGCTGCATCGAAAGGTCAGGCATCTGAAGGAGCAGTATGAGGATTTGGAGGGCAAGTACCAGCAGTTGAGGGGCGAGCATGAGCGGTGTGGGCAGAAGGAGCATCGGCGAGATTGTAACTGTGGGAGGGCGTGAAACTTTTTACGCTTTGAGATTTGGATATTGATTTCTGGAGTTCTTGGGTTATTGGATGGGTGAGCTTAACGAGAGAAGATTAAGAGAAGACCATTTAGGCTGATTTGGTCGTTTGTACGAGCGGGAGTCTGGGACAGAAAGCAGATCTGCTCAATTTGTTATTATTATACTTACTTGCGCAAGCGAAAAATGTCTTCACGAAGTCACGAAAGCATTTTAGCGGGCGAGGTAGTTCTGGCGTATACTTTGGAACTTTTTTAATTAGAGCATCCAAATGATATGACCATTTTCAGACAAGTCGGAGAGTTCCGAGTCTTGGTGTGCCAAGTGCTTTCTCTGACGTTGTGGTCTCGCTCAGCCTCGAAATATTTGTTCGAGCTGTTCACTGCGGTCCATTTAGGATATGCTCCTGGGTATTTTATCTACTATACACTTTAATTTTGACTTTCATTTTGTTTTTTTTGCTTTACTCGAGACTTTAATATACTGCTCCTCAAATTTCTACCAAATGTCGATTATCGGGATGCTGCTCGTTACCCCTTTTCGTCGCTCACGTGATCAATTACCCGCGTTTTCTTTTCCAGCCAACAACGATTTGAGTGCGCCTTTGCATCTTGGATCCACAGTAGCCTGTATGAACGGTAGGGTTTCATATTACCATGCAGTTTGCACGAGGCTAGGCCGTATTGCTTTTGTCTCGCTTAGGCTTCGCCCTGATTCTGTCCCGACGGAGAAGATTCGGTGAATCGACATTGTTGCGCCATCTGCTGTTATCTTGTTCTTGCTTCTTGGTGTCAGAATCATACTATTTTGCGCATTTTGGTTTCAAACGGGTTGGTCTCCTGAGCTTCGACTGCGTACATTGATTTCCTGGAGGGCGTGTTGAGGTTTCTTGGCGAGACCCTGGAATCCTAGGCCAACCGCATTGTCAGAAATCGGCAGTAAGACCTGCATGCACGCATGCGTCTTATTCTGGAATATGGTTATTTTTACGTTTCCCTCGGCCGCAAGTGCGGTCCCTCTAAGGAGAGCTACCCGTTCCTCAACTCATCCCACTTTTACCTCATGGAAATGCTACCATCTTGTGCAGTTCAGATCTTCAAGGCTCATGAATCGGTGATTACATTAGCGAGATATACGATGTTTGCCTGTATTGGGGGTTATTTGAGAATCCTCTCTTGCGAGAACGTGTCTTGGCCTTGGTCCAATCGGCAACCGACACAGGTTCAAAAAACTATCGCCACGAACGTCAGCATATCCGAGTTTGATTTACGATCACAGAGTCGATCTTGCCGACTTTTGTGAATACTCCATTCTGAATCGGCTGCAGTAGCGGGCTATGCCAACGTTTTCAGTGGCGAGTTCCGCTCCAAGTTCACTGCTTCATGCAGACTGGGATTCAAAGACCTCAAGAGGGAATGGGGCCTTGGGACGATATACCATTTTCCTAGAGTGATTGGGGTCATCGGGACAAGAGCCATCTGTCGCCAAACGAATTACGTTAGGGGAGAGACATCGTGTGCGCATGTCGAATAAGCATCACGTGCAAGCAGCGCGGGGGCACAGCCACTCTGCATGAGCATTATTCAGCGGGGGATGAAATATGGTATTGGCTCCGCAATCGCTTGCTAGACCTATGATTCGGGTAAGGTTTATCAATCCACATATGGGAGGCTCTCTCGCCGCCGTAAGTGGTTGCCTGAATGCCTTCGTCGCTGTCCTCGCTACACTTCTCCTCCCCCTTTTCGCATCGTCCCTATTGCTTCCCCATGAATACGCCATGGAAGGGCCACGCAGAAAGTTCAGCAAGCCGCCAGTCAAGGTGGCTTGCCTAGCCTGGTAAGCTGATTATGTTTCGCAGTTTGAATTTCCCCAATGTACCGCTCTAAATACCATCTAGTCGAGCTTCCCGGGTTCGTTGCGATGGCAGGCAAGAGTGCAAGAACGTAAGACACAGCACTGAGCTCTATGGTGGTTTGAACATTAACCTGAGCGACTCAAGTGCCTCGACAGAGGCAAAGAATGTCTCTACACAAAGAGTAAGCGCGGTGGTGCTCGCCCACATCGAACAACCGCCGAATCCGCCGCATCGTCGAGCTTGGGGGACAGCCCTATTCTCCCCCTGGATGCTAATCCATTCAATTTTGAAGAAGGTAGCTAGCTTACTATCTCCGCTATCTAAAACCAGCAGTCTCACATTAATCAAGGCCTCTATTACCCCAATACCTTCCAAACCGATGGCGCCGGACTTGACATCATCGATGGATTGGTGGGTCAAGGGGTAATATCACCAGATGGCAGGTTTTTGGGCATGGATATGGGCTTTGACATGAACACGATATCGCCAGCCTCACAGTCAAGCAATGTCAGCAAATTTGACGACCTCTTTGGTAGTCAAGCACTTTTCACAGACCCAAGTTCGTTTACTCCGGAGAGCTTCGATCAACCTGCAACGTCGAAAGGAAAAGAGCCAGAAAAATCCACGAATACGGCCAGCGTGTCTACGGCGGATATGTACCAAGCGATATCGAACCTGGGGCAACCAAAAAAACCTCTGCCAGGAACTCGACACTACGGAAGCGATGCCGCCATGTAAGTTCAGCCCTGGCAACCATCCGGTGTCCGAATCCTTCATGGGCAGCTGACTTTGTATCGCAGCTTGAATGCATATTACATCCACATCCACGCAGTCTTTCCCATTCTGCCTCCACCAGTCTGGCAAATCGTAGCCGATAATCCACTCTCCGCAGCCGAGAGCCTCAAATCTGATTATAGACCCTACTCCCCGATCTGCCTCGCCCTCTCCGCTATCCTCACCCTTATCCCACTCTCGCCCGGCCCAGCCTCCGCATCCTCCGAAGCAAAAACCGCGCGGAGGAACCAAGCTCACCACTACGCGACCTCATGTCTAAACAGCATCGACGTCGAAACCGAGCTCATCGAATCCATGATCTCGCCGCAAGATGCGCTGCAGAAACACTTCGTTGAGCATGAGAGGGCGCAGTTTCATCCTCGGGTCCCGTTGAGCCTTGAGAGTATCCTTGCGTTGCTGGTTTTGACGGTTTATGAGTATGCACAACGGGGGAATATGACGAAGATGAGGACGAGAGCTGGGCAGGCGCTGGTTATGGCGCTAGATATGGGGATTTGTGATGAGGAAGATGAGAGTGAACGATATGCTGAGGCGAGAAGGCGGGCGTGGTGGATGACGGTATGGTTATCCCTGATTTCCCCGGAAAATGGGAAGCTGATATTTCTAGTATGCTTGTGTATGTCATGGTGCGATCGTTAAAAACGCTGTCAGTTTGAAGCCCCACTGCGTGGTCCACTGCTGACCTCCCCCAAAGCCCCTGAAATCCGTGGCTATGGATCTTTACGACTCGCGATTCCAGATTGGGTACCCAGTTGTTGCTGCTGATCCAAGTGTAAGTGTTACTCGAAAACCTCCCGTGGCTAATAACATTAAGGCCGAATTCTAGGTCTTCGAATTCTTCATCAAAGCCCAGCAAGCCATCATTGTAGCAAACCAGTTCACCAATGATCTGAAAGCCTGTCTAGAAGACAACATACCTCTGTCCGAAAAGAACATCTATCAGTGGCAATCTGAACTCGAGACCCTTTTTGAGGCACTGTGCAACGAAGCGGACCTATATTCGGAAACTAATCCCTCTAACTTACTGGCTGATGCAGATGAAGCCGTTGTTGGGAAAGCTATGAGGGCAATCAGTCGAATCAGACTGAACAGGCAAGACCCCTTCCGCCGTCGTAATCAAATGAGAGAAGGAATACTAACTGGCAGTGCTGCTTACAGTGCAAGGATCAAAATCCACCGCTACACAGCATTCATGAACATCCCAATCTTCTCGCAGAAACATTGCGATCTTCCCACCAGTCCAGTGCCGCCGAAGAAGCGAGAAAGTGTCATAGGCACACTCGACTGCTGCGACACACCTCTGGAATCTGCTTCCGCTTCCAAAATATCACCACCTCCAAACGAGCATATATCCCAACTCGACTGCTGTTCAACCGACATTGCAATGAACTCAGCTCCCGGCATCCCCCCACCGCAAGACGATGCAGGAATAGGAATCCTCTCCTGCTGCACCCCCGAAGCCCCCGTGTTTTCTACAACCTCCAAAACCCCCTCACTAGACTCTTCCTCCGACCCCTCTGCACCCTTCACCCGCTCCCTCTCCACAAAAATCTGCCGCACGGCGGCTCTAAACATAGTCCACTCCTTCCACACCCTGCCCTATCCCTCTCCGCTCGTCTCCCCTCCCTCTCCCATCCCCCTCCCCCGCGCGATGCCCGTCTTCGCCTGCTGCGCAATGCAATGCAGCTACGCTTTGCTCATGCTCAGCCACAAAGCATCGCGTAGTCATGAGTATAGCGATGATGATATTGTGCTGCAGGGGTATAAGAGCCATTTGCGGCAGGCGCTGGGGGTAGTTGTGGGGAGTCTCGAGAACTATTCTGCGGCTTACGAGGCGCTGGATGGGATGAGAGGTTGGTCAACATAAGGGGTACCCTAAATATCGTTTCCTTGCTGACATGAAAATCGACAGTACAAATACAGCAATCGTTAGACTCGGAGATGTTTTTGTGAGGAGGGCAGCGGAAAGGATATCCTCCTTATTGTTTCGGAGTCTCGAACGGAGAAGTTTCGCGCAACATGGTGTTACCCTTGGAGGCTCGGGGCATCCAACCGTTTTTGTTTTCTTGGTCTGGCTTTTATTTGAAGCGAAGTTTTCATAGCAGTAGGCGTTAGGGTAACGGCGCAAGCCGAAATATTCGATATTGATTTTTAGATTAGAACTCCTGCATTTGAGCGTTTGATTTGAAAGATGATCCCAGGGTTTCGGGCCAGTAGTAGCAATACTGAAGTAGAAACCGCTTACGTACAGAGTAGAGTAGAATAATTTGTAGTTGCAAGAGTATTTGAGGTGTAGATGAAAAGCTCTTTCACCACTTGACAGAAAACGTTTTGTAGCACATCGCCTTTGCTTCCTTTTCACTAAACTTCATGGGTTCAGATGAAACCTCCAGGATACAGCGAAGTTCTCACCTATAAATTTAATTGTACATGGATTTGTAAATATCTAATAAATGAAAGAATTGAGATGGAAAGGTTTTTAATGTGGTGAAAATAATTTTAGCCATCTGATCTTTGGATGATTAAGGTGCGTCATGCAACGAATATCGATGGGGTGAAGGCTTTCCATGTCATGGCATAGAAAATTAATTATCTGATCTTTGGACGATTCAACTGCGTCGTGCAAGGGATCTCAACGAGATGGAAGGTTTGCGAATAGAGAGGTGCAACTTAATCACAGGATATGAGCTCCTATGGAGGCGCTCGGATCGTGAAATTAATCCTGATTCGAGACTTCGAAGTGGTAAGAATCATTCAAAGGGATGGCCGGCTTCTTCGTACATCAAGATCAAGTACGCACAGAAACGTGAGATTTCAGGCTGGAAAACAGCGAAGCTTTCATTCAGAAGAGCTCGAAATGCAACGAATAGAACACAAGAGGTTCGCTATGCTTTTATGCGAACTCCATATCCCCAATATGCGAAATCTCAATAATCATCTCCTCGGCTAATTACCTCTTTCACGTTGGGTCGGAGCAAGATGGTCTGGCAAAGTCAGCAATGCTTCAATCCAAAATCAATGAGTGGACCCACGTGTTCAAATTGAGCAGTGTATGAGCCCTTCTTGTCTACAAGGGGCGGATATGCCTCCACGATACCGTGAGATACCAGACTGTTCAACTACATCTTGTCAGCCACAAGTTCACTTATCAACGGGGGTTAAGAGCCTACTCCTAGCAAATATTTCTCCTGACCCAAGCGATCCAGATATCTCCGGCAGAAAGGCAGCGTACCGAAGTTCTTGTTGATCACATTCAATAACTTCTTTGCTGATCCAATTCCCAATCCTACTTTTGGAGCATCTGCTCGCTTTGCGTAATGAGAAGTTTCATACTGCATACCAATCAGCATTGTTTCGAGAGATGGATCTTCAGGGGCTTACATCGTCCTGAACGTAGCCATTTCCAGTACTTCCAAACGTCTCGATAGCGAAGACTTCACCTTCCTCCATCTTTGTCTGATCGTTGCTCTTGACGATGGGTACACTCTTTCCACCATGGATCTGCCATTGCCGAATATCATGTCCGTTCAAGTTTCGAATGCACTTAATTGGATACGTCTTGCCGTTGATTTCACATTCATAACTCTCCATAGTCTCCTGAATGGCTGCTCCAATCTCTCCCATTCTGGCATCAATACCAGCTTCCTTGATACCGGTATTTGTGCCTTGCTTCACTGCTTCAAGCAGGTTGTCGTACATAGGGTCGAAAGCCATTGTGAAGGCACTATCGACAATTCTGCCATTGATATGCACTCCGAAATCGACCTTCATGACATTGTCCTTGCTGAGAAGCGTCTTGTTTCCAGCGTTTGGACTGTAATGTGCCGCAATATGATCGAGATTGAGACCTGTGGGGAACGCAATACCACCTTTGATATTGTCGCCCTCTTCCAGACCCGGATGGCCAGTCAGAGCTCGCACACCATCTTCAATTCCCTCCGCGATCTCGGTCAAGCTCTGTCCGGGCTTGATATTCTTCTGCGCCCATTGTCGAACCTGCCTGTGGATCTCCGCTCCCTGTCTATATTCTTGGAGGAAATCGTTGTTCATCCGGTCCAGGGCTCTCTTCTCCTCATTGGTAGTTCGATATAAGTTCTCATCTCTGTATTCCACTTCCTGACCAACGGGATATTCTCCGCTTGGGAAGAGATTTGATAACAGGACTCGGGGAGGGTCTGATTGCTTCGTGGGATTTGATCCAGCACCTCCAGCCTTCTTTGGCTTTCTCTTCCGCTTCCTCTTCTTCTTTGCTGCTCCGTCCGCTCCTCCTTCGGCCGGGGCTCCCTTTTCATCCTCCTCGTCATCCTCCTCGTCAGCTTCAGGAGCGTTGCCATTTCCGTTGGCTTTCGCGGCTGCTGCCGATGCCATGACGGCTTCTGGGTCTTTCACTGTAGGAATTTTTAGTATATTCTTCCCAAACACTTGCACACGACCAGAGACACCCACCCTTGAGGTTTGCAAGCGCATCTGCAGCTTGCGCAGCCATCTTGTCTTGCGCAGAGCCACGCTCTGAGGTTTTCTCTCTTCTCGAATATCAAATCGCTTACTTGTTTGGAGTTTCAGTTCCCCAAATGTTCCAGTTCGTGTCGTACAATCCTGGCTTCGGAAAAGGAAAATCTCGACATATCGCGGGGTGATGAAGTAGTGCGGAAGCTGAGTGGGGCGAAGCCTTTTCTGACTTGTCAAGTTACTACCCTTTTAGGACTAGACTAGCTTCTAGGTCTTAATGCCGTCACCGGATATCAACAACCTGGTCTTGCTTTATTGAACATCCTCTCTCCTATACAATTACGTTTTTCATAAGAAACGGAAACATCTATTCGGGATGAGGAATGCCACTCCGTCCCTTCTCCTCCTCTCTCGTATGGACACGACTCCCACGGCTCTTCCACACCAGTGTTTCTCGAAGAGATGAGAGCCCCAAGCAGAACCACTATGAGACTCTACAGGTACCCATCAATGCCAGTCCGGCCGAGGTGAAGAGGTGAGGCATTACTCCCCCAGTTCCCTTTCCTCACTTTCCTCTTTCCTCTTCCTAACTACCATCTACCAATTCATATCCTTCCAAAATCAGAAGCTAATCCCCCACCTCTCCAGGTCCTTCTACGCTCTCTCCAAAACCCACCACCCAGACCGCAACCCCTCCGACCCCAACGCCTCCAAGCGCTTCGTCCTCATCTCCGAAGCCTATGCGACTCTTAGCACGCCCGCCAAACGACAACAATACGACCGGGAGCTGCACCTGCACTCCTCGCACCACGCCGTCTCCCACCACCGACCCCAGGGTTCCTACCACTCTTCCGGGCCGGCAGGAGGACGCCCTGCATCCGGATTAAGTCGCCGAAGAGCGCAGTTCTACGGTCCACCGCCGAGCTTTTACAGGAGTGGGGGATGGGGTGAACAGAGCGCCAAGCGGAAAGCAGCGCAGGACTCTGGGGCTCCAGGAGCGGAAGCCCCTCCTGGTACTTCGAGCAGTGGCGGAATGGGCACTGGACAAGCGCCGTTTGGTCAGGGACAGGAGAATGATGTTCCACATTTTGATAGAGAGGGGCATTTGAATACGCAGCGGAGACATAGTGAGAGGTGGAAGAAGAGGAGGGCAGGGGAGTGGGTACCGAGTGGGGAGAGCCCACGGTCGACGCTGGCGAACTTTTTGTTTGTGGGGGGGATCATAGGTTTAGGGATTTTTGTGCCGAGTTTTGTGTTTGAGAGGATGGTTAAGGGGAAGGGGAGGGGAGAGAGGTAGTGGATAGATGGGCTCAAGCTCCAGAATACACGAAACATGATAACGGATTCCAGCGAATGGGGTGGGAGAATCATTCCTGGTAATTTTTATACTACATACAAGCCCAACTGTCGCTTCGCAAAGAATGCATGCATGCAAGGGCAAAAAAACGCCCAGGAAATCAGTTCGAAAATCAGTATGTCTTGCCTTCGCTCTCTATCGTAGCATCTGCCAATCATGCCCTGGGGCTATGCTGCATCTTGTACTCTATGCTTCGAAGGTGAAGGAGGTGCCGACCTTGTGGGTAGCTTGGTCGAGCTTCTGGGTATCAAAGGAGGCGCCAAGGCCGAGGGTCACACCGGGGCGGAGGAGAACGTTGTAGGCGACGGCTGCGACACCGCGGTCGTTGATCTTGACCTGTTGACTGTATCAGCATATGCTCATGTAGATATCTGACTGGGGCTCCTACCTTGGCGAATGAAACAGGGTCCAGTCTGTACTTGGCGGCAACCTCAAGACCGACCTGGCTACCGGCCTTCGAGTCCCAGGTAGACTTCGCACCAGCCTCGACCTGCGCGTTGACCTTGTGGTAGTATGCAGCAGAGAAGACGCTCAAGTTGTTGGTCGCAGTGATAGATGCAGTGTATGCAGGAACCGAGTATCCAACAGCAAGAGAGTGGCTGGTAAGCGCTGCCTTCGCGACATCATAGCCCATAGATCCACCGAGCAAGAAACCATCCTGACCAATAACAACATCGACGTTGGCGGTAGGGCCCTTGATGATATCGAAGAAAGCACGGGCGTGGAAGTTGGGCTGCTTGAAGTGGAAGTTTGCCTTTGCGCCATAGGCCTTGGTGGCAGGCAGGAAGTTGCCCAAGAACTCGGCCTTCAGACCCTTGGCAATAGTGTCATTGAGCTCAAGCTTGGTATCAAGAACGTTGGCAGTGTTCCATGATTGAGTGATTGTTGTGCCTGCGCGGCGATAGAACATTAGTAAATGTGCTTGTCCTTGACTATAGTCCAGCAAGAAATCGATGGGACTATAAGAGCCAGAGGGGAAATCCGAATGGATTGTAAATCGCTTGAAATATATACCGGAAGATTTGTCCGTGTATTTGCCCTCCAGCTGTACACATTCTTCTAGTCAGTCTGCATTCGCATGTTCGAATCGTCTCCTCGGCGAGAGGAATTTCGTACCAAACCGCTTGTTGCGCTGTCGTGTGTGCTCTTGCCAGTCACCTTGAAGGCAACATTGTTGGGGGTGGTGTTCTTGAGCTCGATAGCTGCTGCAGACAGGTGCTTGCATGATGTCAGTTAGATCCATGAGGGTTGGGAGATTGGCCATACGTAGAAGTCCTTGCTCAGCAACTACGGAACGTTAGCACAAACAGTTACAGATCAAAGATCAGCTCCGGGGAATTGCTTACGTCGTTTGAGGATTTTGCGATATCTGAGAACGCTGGGATGGACATTTTGAATGGACGAGGGGTGGTGGTGAGATGAATTGAGATTTGGATTGTTTTGCTGAGGTTGTGGAGGTGTCACTCCAGAAAATGTTTGTCAATACGGGTGCTTCCCGCTTTGCACAATTTCCTTGTATCGGCCAGTCCCGGAGCTTGCAGCACCAGCAGGAGCTTGTGAGGTCGGTGATTGGCTCAAAATCTCGCGCAACCAGCTGACGAGAAAGGGGGCCCGCACATCGTGACCTTCAAATTCATGCGAAGATATTTTCACGTAAGAAAGTTAACTTTCTTCTCGGAGATGGACGAGGTCTATTGTGGAAGAACAAGTCTATTTGCAGGTATTCGCATCCATCTATGTAACGCCACGTTTGTTTCGAGAAAAAGCGACCAATGAAGCACCTATCAAAGTAAAAACCCCGACTCGACGACTGAAACCTGACAGATTTGCTCATATGGAGAAGAATTCGATCATTCCGTGTTCTTGTATTTCTGTGCGTGAATAGAGATGGCCCTGGTTTGTAGTCAGTGTGAGTCGTTAACTAACGAGAAAAAGCTTGCTCACCTTCCACTGGGGTCGGTCTGCTTCGACCATTTCGGCGTCCATCGCATCACAGTCTCCGCACAGTACGGTGGGAAGTGCTCGTCAAACATCAATCGGTACCAGTATCTGTGATTAGTCAGTCATATGAAAACCTCGAAACCTGTGTACCTCACGCTTCCTTGGTATCTGGAATATCAGTTCCCCATTCCGGCTTTGGTTTCTTCATCATCTCATCAGTCACATGCAGCTCGGCGTTGTCCTTCAATGCATCAATCCACCCATAACCAACACCATCGCTGAATTGCTCCTTTTGTCGGTAAAGAATGTGGTCTGGCAGATACGGCTTCGCTCCTGGCTCATCTGAGGTGTCGAAGGCCTTGCGGATAATATATTTCTCAATCCTCTCCTTGGTGATCAGCTTGTCAGCTGGATCGATGTTCATTGCAACATCCAAGAACTATTTCCTGGGTCAGCATTGGGCTGGTATCTCGTCTCAGATTGCTTACCTCTTTGTCCAAGAATGGAACACGGGCCTCAAGTCCCCAAGCCGAAGTCGACTTATTAGCTCTCAAACAATCTGACAGGTGCAGATTCTGAACTCTGCGGACACACTCGGTATGGAAAGCCTCCTTGTCAGGAGCAGCATGGAAATAGAGGTAGCCCCCAAAAATCTCATCACTCCCCTCGCCAGACAAAACCATCTTCACACCCATAGCCTTGATCTTTCTCGAGAGCAAGAACATGGGGGTCGAGGCACGGATAGTTGTTACATCAAATGTTTCCAAGTGATAGATGACATCTGTCAGGGCGTTCAACCCCTCCTCGATAGTGAAAGTCATGTCGTGGTGCTTGGTACCCAAGAATTTTGCAACTTCTTTTGCGGCCTTGGTATCCGGGGCGTTGGGGAGACCAATGGAAAATGAGTTGAGTTGAGGCAAGTATGTCAATGTTGACAACTTGTTCTCGTCGTCAATACCAACAAGACCCTCTCCTTTATCCTCGTTGTCTTCCGTCTCTTTCGCCTCCCCGTTGGTACTCTCCATTTGAGCCAAAGCAACAGCCTTCAAGCGCAAGGTTTCTCGTTGAGCAATTGAAGCAACCAAACTCGAGTCCAAACCTCCAGACAAAAGCACACCATATGGAACCTCAGCCATCAACCGTTTGCGAACCGACTTCTCGAATGTTTCTCGCAAAAGCTTGTAGTCGACAGGGGCAGTAGGCACGTTGGTGGGGTCCCACCACTTCGGCTGATAATACCTTGTCATCTTATCCGTTTTCGAGTCGTAGATATGGCCGGGAGGGAACGAGATGATCTTGTCGCAGACGGTATGCAGACACTTCAGCTCTGATGCGAAGAAGACAGCTCCTGGCATCTTGCTCGACCATCCTTGGTAAAAGCTTGTGATTCCAATTGGGTCGCGTGCTGCAATTGTTCGATCCTGGGTCTTGTCGTAGAGGACGAAGGAGAACATGCCATCGAGGTACTTCGGCACATCGATATCGTATTCCATATACTAGATGCAAGTCAGCCCTTTGCCCATTGACCATCAAAGAGTTCTCTTACCAGTGGTATTATGACCTCACAATCGGAGTGAGTCTTGAAGTGGTACGGTGTCTTCAAGGTTTTTCGAATGACCCTGTGGTTGTAGATTTCACCATTGACAGCAAGAGCAATGCTCTCATCCTTGTTGGTAAGAGGTTGGGCTCCACTGTCAACACCAACAATACTCAGACGCTCGTGGGCAAGAACTTTGAGATGTTAGTCACAGTCCCCAATGCTCGTTCTCTCGTAGATTCCCTTACTTGTACTGTTGGCCATATAACTTCCGGACCAATCTGGCCCACGATGCCTGCATTGCTTCACCATTTTCAAAGCCGTAGGCTTGAATGCCTTTGCGTCTGGGACATGACTATGGAAAGTATGAGTCAGTGCATTCCGATGCGTTGTTCGGGGGAGCTCTGGGGCATTGATGACTAGGAAACTATGACTTACTGACAGCCCACGATCCCACACATCTTGCCGACGTCAAATGCGTGAGCTGAGGTGGTTCAAGGCTCTCTCTTTGCAAGTGGTTTTGACGATGCGGTGGGTGCTGGGAAGGCGGATGGGTACTCTTGCCTTGTAATTGCACCGGGATTTTTGGCACAACGATTCAGAGAGGGCAAAGGGTACGTTTCCAGAACAATTGAGGCCCAGAATGGTGGTTGTATATGTAGCTTCCAAAAGTGTGACTCCTGCCAGAAATTTTGGAAGTGCTTGGTGGGGTTCTGACGCCGATCCCGGACTACAGTTATATGCGAAAACTCCCTGTTTTAGCGAGTTTTTGACGAAAAGCGGTATATTTAAAAATGGGTGTACCAAAAGTTACCTAAATTATCTTTAATTACTAATTGCTCTACTAAACCATATCCGAATTAGATAAGAAGTGGATTAATTTACTTCCCTAAAGTAGCTCTTACTAATAATAAGAGCAGATTATGGCTCCTTACCTAAGCCCGTATGAAATCGCGGCTATTAACGCTATTATCGCATAACCTTATTACTCCGATTTATATAAGATTATAACCCGATTTAATACTACTTATGAAACTATATAATATTAGAGATATTAGATATGGATTCGGAAAGCTCTTGGCTAGGATCCCCGGAAAAAACCAGGCTATTAATTAATAATTATACCAGAAATAGAAGAAGCGGTAATAAAGTATATTCTGAGATATATTAATATTTACTAGGAGGAAATTATTAACTTTCTTAATAAGGAATTCGGTATTAAACCTTACTAAATAATAATCTTGTATTTTTTAAAGAGATTAGAGATTATATATAAGAAAATTAAGGTAGTAGTAGCGGAGTAAAACCAGGAGCTTCTTAAGTAATAGTATAATAATTCTCGATTTTAGAGAGCAGATTAGATTATTACTATAGATAAATTAGCTTTTAATAAGTATACGGGATATAGGAAATATAAATAGGTACCTTAGGGCTTACCTATAAAGATAAAGATATTCTTAAAGTAATCTCCTAAATAATTTCTTTTACTAGTATATATAATTAATGGATATTTTAATTCTTTAGTTTATTAAGGTAATATTATAGCCGAGATTTTTAAAAATTAGATAGAAAATAAGATATTCCCGTAATATAATTCATAGCTAGATAAAAATTCAATTATTATAATAGATAACTATAGTATATACTAGAGTTAGAGAATACTTAATATATACCGGGTATGAGATATTTGGATATACTAGTTATTTTCTTATTACCTAATTTTGAACCTAATTAAGGAGAGCTTTTATAATATTAAGTCTAATATACGGAAGAACTATAGGAAAGTTTATGGGAAGTATTTAGACTTTAGAGATTATCTAATTAATACTATTCGGAGGCTTAAATAGGGGCCAGAAGTAGCTAGGAAAGCTAGGGAGTATTTTTATAATTTAGGATATTAGAATTTCCCTATAGAATTAGTATAAAATTAATAGAATTATTATACTTAATATTACTTAAAGTTCTAGTAATTTTAATATTATAAAAAGTAGTTCTAAAATTACTTATTACTTTACTAGAAAGCTAATATTAATACTAATTAAAAAATACTATAGTTCTTAATAATTATAACTATTATTAAAAAAACGAAAGCATATTTAGAATTATAGGAAATAGCTTTTTTAATTATTCTAATATATAAAAATCCTATAGTATAGTTATAAAAATATTTAGTATAAGGGAAAAACTTTAAATATTAATAATCTTGACTAAAAATAATAATTATAATACTAGTAATAAATCTCTTTAAAAGAGCCTAAAATCCTATAATCTAATTAGTTTATTTCTCGCTTCCCTAGTCTTGTAATATATGGAAATTAAGGCTTAATTCTAAATATTATTTTTTATCTAATCCCTAATTAATTCGTAATTATTATTAAATATCCTAGGAATTATAAACTTTTCCTAATCCTGCTTCTATAAGTTACCTATACCCTAGTAAAAGCTAATCTCGTTTTTAGAATATATACTAAAAATAATATTTAGTTAAATCAAGTTTCCTGCTTAGGTATCCGGAATAGTACTTTAGGAGAGGGCTACTATATTAGTAATTAGTACTAGAGTACCTATATTTAATATAGAAGATTAATTAACCTCCGAATTTTATATAGTATACTAAGGGAAAACCTAATCCTTTATAATAAGAAGAAATCCCTATAGAATACTATATTTTTTAGCCTCTAATTTCTCTATTATTTTTAGCTATTTTAGGTTAATCTGCTTCTCTAATACTATAGCTATTAAATTACTAATATTAGCTCATTAATTTTGAGGTAAGTAAGTATCTAGTTATATCCTAAATAATACTAATTTCTCTCTAATATTAGTATCTTTATAAATTAGGCTAGACTCTTATAAAGTATATAAATTAAAGATACTAGAGAAATACTTAGCTTAATAATTATAATCTTAATACTGGGAATATAAAAGAGTAAGAGAAAAAGATTATTAATATTGAAAATAAGGCGAATTAGCTTATAGATAGGGAAGAAGCTAGTTTTGCTAGAGGAGTTTAGCTTAATAATATAAAGCTTACTTAATAGCTACGAACTTAGGGAAGGGAATTAGATTATAATTAGCGAGATATATAAGTAAATAACGGGGTAGTAGTACCTATAGGATATTATATAAGCTAGTAAAGGGCTCTTTTCCCTTGAATTTATTACTATAGTAATTATAGTTAATAATAGATTAAGATAAGCCCTCTCTTAGTTTATTTTTTACTTTTTTTTTTTTTTTTACTTTTTCTTTACTCTTATTTTATTATCTACTAATTCTCTATTAATTTTCGCTATATAGTATCTATTTAATAATTAAATTAGTAGGAATAGTAGTAGTATTAGCCTTATTAGGAAGCTTATTTCTCTATTAATCTATTTATTTATAGAAGTTGTCTAATTTAATCCTGAAATAGTTTCCTTTATAAATAAAATACTATTAATTTCTATTTAGGTACTTTTTTCTTTCTCCCTTATTATATCTCTAATATTATAAAAGTAGGCTTAATCTCTCCTAATATCTTAATTATATCTTCCTATTCTTGACTAAAGATATAATAGTAATAATAGTAGCTATTTTCCTAGCCTTCTTAATAGGGGAAATGCTCTTTTTAGTATTACTATTATTATCTAAATAGACTAGCTTAGGAGGATTTAGTATTTTTCTTTTTTTTCCTAATACTTTCTCTAGTTCCGGTAATAATTCGGGGTCTTTTTTAGTAATAAATCGAGCTTTAATAATGTAATTAATGCTTTTTAAGTTTCTAGAAACTATTATTTTTTCGAATTTCTTAAAGCTCTTTTTATCTTGGATATAGAAGATCTATTAATTACTTAAAGCTTTATATATTTTTTTCTATTTTCTCCTAGCTTTAATCTCCTTATTCGTCTTTGCCGCTTTATTAACCCTTATCTAAACCTAGCCCTACCAAAATTAGTATCTATTATATAGAATTAATAAAAAATCCTCCTGAAAAGACTCCGAATAAACTAGCTTATGGTTTAGGTAAACCTACTAGTTTATGGTAACCACGTGGGTCTTAGCTTCGGGCTCTGGAGACTTACTAGATAATAATGACGATATTTTAATAGTACGCTCCTTTTGGGGATTAGCTCCGCTAGTACTAGTATTAGGAGAAGGCTCTTTTGGGGGCCTGCTAGTAGTCGTGAGCTTGATTTTAGGCTATTTGGGAGCTACTAGAGCAGAGGAGGCCTTAGCTATAGGTTTTCTCTGTCGTTTTTTGCCTACTAAAGGCGGTGGTTTCTCGATTTTTTTGCTCTTTAAACGTGCCATGGTAGGAGCTTGCGAATAAAGTCGAAATTGCCTAATTGGGATGGTGCTGGAGGTAGTAGTGCGATTATTGGGTGAGTTTTGTTAATTATCATTAATTTTTGGTGGGGTGCGTACCAAAAGTGCATGATGCGGCTAAAATTCGCTAAAACAGGGAGTTTTCGCATATAACTGTAATGCAGGACCAGTTGGGCGATAAGCTACAACTCTTTCCGAAGGTTGTCAGAAAATGAATGTCATCCGTACCACTGCTGCTGGGACTTTAGAGGGCTCATATGGAGGGATTGAAACTCAGAGGACAAAACCCAGCAGCTTCTATTTGCCCCCGCGCGCCTCTTCCACGCGCCTCAGAGTGGGGTATCATGGCCGCAATCAGGTGAGAGTGCCCTGGCGGCACTCGCGTGTCCCGGGTCCATCTTGAACGAAGTCACATTCTCAACAGCAAAAGCGGCCTCACTGACGTGTCACAAGCCCATTACGTCCCAGATTGATATTCTTTTTGCATTCAATAACTCATCTACCCCATATCAAAAGCCACCTGTAGAGTTATTGCCCGCGCCGCGTAAAGCCCCCAAAGCAGATCCTACCAACGCCGTGCTCAATGCCACCCACCCATATGCAATCCCACAAAAAAGAGTCTATGGCGCCGGGTTTTCCTTGACGATCCGCTTGATCTTGCTCTCATACGCTGCTCGATCCTTCTTGAAGAGGTTGTAAGCGTCAGCTTGGGCTGGGGAGTCGGGGTTTGGCTCGTCGAGCAGGTCTTGGACTCCGAGGAGAATTTGCTTGATGGTGATAGCCGGCTTCCATGCATCTTCTTCGTTCAGGATGGACAAGCAGACGGTGCCGGAGGGGTAAACGTTGGGGTGGAAGAGCGGTGGGACGAATTTGCCTATTTCGGTCAGCTTTTACAGTCACAAAATCAAGATAGGACTCTTACACTTGGGTGGTTTTGTTGGGTACTCTGCAATATATGTCAGCCTATCTATCGCATGTATAGATGTGTTGTGCGACTCACCATCAGGGAAGATAACACTCAGCTTGAACAATCCACCCTCCCACAAAGTCTTCTCCTTGCCTGGTATGCCACACTCCCAGATCTTCAGATCAAGGACACCTGTTTGCGGGTTTCGCTGGGGTTTTGCGTAGAAGCCGAAGGGGTGATCACGTCGCCATTGCTTCCTCTCCTCCTGGAGGCGCATTTGACACAGAGCCATGTCGTGCTATTGCACGGAGGGCTGTTGAATCGCGACTTGATAGAGGCTGAGCGGAATGTTGGGAGGGGGAAGATGCAGTTGTCGCGAAGAAACACTTGCACGCCGAAGAATAGCTTTTAAAATCCAGAGCCTTGCGCGAGTAGAGCACCGGAGCCTGATTCCGCTTCACTTTTGCTTCGAGGATGAGGCTGAAGTTGAAGGGTCGCGAGCGAGGTTTTTGTATCACGGAATGGAGTTGAGCTGTGATTGGTTGGAAGAAGGGGCGAACAGGGGTCCTTGATTGCCTCGGCGAGGCAGGGCTCGCTCAACAGTGAATTTCTTCCAAGAAAATGGAGAGACAGATTTTCCCTCTTTCGTTCTGAATGCTTGCGAAGTCAGATAGGATTCTTGTTTATTTCATTGCCATCTAGAACCACCCATTGTATAGCACCTACCGTGAACGCACCTGGCAAGTTGATATCCGCTGTCACAAGCCATCCACCTGCTCAACACAATAAAGGAGTAATTTTTGCACAAGAAGCATACTGCAGATATGGAGAAGAAGCTAGGGGATTTAGAAGGTCTGGCAGAGGGCTTTGGAAAGGCAATGGAGAAAGACTCAGCTTCAATACCAACACCAAAAGACCCCGAATCAGCAGAAGTGCCAAAGTCAAAGGATCATGTACTTGCAGAGGATGTCCCAGACCCAGACGAAGATGACCTGGACGATTTAGATGGTCAGTCCTCCCCATTATGTGCAACACGTGTTAACAAGCTCTAGATATGCTTGATGAATTCGTGCCCACCCCTTCCGCTGCAAAGCCAACTCTCCCCACCGGCCCAGGTAGACCCAGTGCTCCTATTCCGGATTTTCCAATAGAAGAAGGCCTTTCCGATGAAGATTTTGCCAAACAACTACAATCTGGGATGGCAGAGCTGCTGGGAGAATTAGAGACATCACCCGACATGCAAGCACAACTTGAGAACATGCTGAAGGAGCTTGGTGGGGCAGCAGCTCTTGGAGAAGCCGCAGGCTTAGGTGCACCAGGTTCAGCTGCATCAACATCCAAAGAACCTGTGGCAAAAGTAGGACCTGCAGCAGCTGCCTCTGCAACAGAAGAGTCCTTTCAAGAAACGATCAAGAAAACAATGGAACGGATGCGGGAAAGTGGGGATCAAGCTACAGCGGCTGCCACATCAGACAACACTGATGACTTAATGGCAGAGATGATGAAAGCCATGCAAGCAGGCGGTCTAGATGGTGAAGGTGGAGAAGAGGATTTCTCTAAAATGTTATTGGGGATGATGGAGCAGTTGACAAACAAGGAGATCTTGTATGAGCCCATGAAGGAACTAGATGATAAGTTCCCAGATTGGATGAAGAAGAACGCTGGGAAGGTTAATGAGGCGGATATGAAGAGGTATAAGGAGCAACAGATATATGTGAGGGAGATTGTAAAGAGGTTTGAGTTGAAGACTTACACGGATGAGAATGCTGCGGATAGGGAGTACATTGTGGACAGGATGCAGAAGGTTGGTACTGACACTTTATTTGCATTGATTATGTACTAAACGTTTACAGATGCAAGCAGCTGGCTCTCCTCCAGCTGATCTCGTGGGAGATATGCAAGCAGCGCAAGAAGCTTTCGGGGCGCCAGAAGAAGGTTGCCCTACACAATGAAGAATCATTGACACCAAATACAGTAGCCCAATCTTGTGACTCCAAAGCAATAACCATAACGCCGTCTTATCCTTATGCCCCAAACTTTAACGCCTACGCTGAAGAAATAATCCTAACAGGTATCGAATGATGGCCAGCTCTAGCTCATATCCATCATCTCAGAATCCGTATCAAGATATCCGGGAATTTGCTGCTGTTGCTGACTCGCCATCCTATTCTCCTCCTCAATGACATCCATGAAGATATGATCATACTCCTCATCATCACTTCCATACGGCGTGTCCTGAGTTTGTTCATTCCGATGTGACTGCATCGTCTGATCATCACAAAGCATCGAATTCACCGCATCATCCTGACTCAAACTCCCCAACAACGCCTCCAACTCCTCCTCCTCCTCCATCGCAACCACCTCAACCATAAGCTCATCCTCAAAGCTGGCCCCCTCCCCATCCACAATCTCCTCCTCCAGTTCCCCTACCCCAACCCCCAAAACATTCGCCTCCCTTCGTCTCTCTTCCTCCCGTCTCCTTTCCTCCGCAACCCAAATAACCCTCAACACCTCATCGTCCCCGGCGCCCAACCCTCCATTCCTCTCCCGCCATCTCTGCTCCTCACTTCCCTCCCTCACCTTCTTCAAGAACAATTTTCTCCTCGCCTCTCGACCTTCATCCGCATTGCGGCTCATGAGCGGATTGGCCTTCGTGACACGCTTGCTGTACACGCTCTCTCTAGAACTACCTGATGCTCTGCCGCGTGAGGGCGGTGGTGATGGGAGTGCAGTTTTCATTGACGATGGTGTCTCGCTGAATTCGACATCGGGGCTGTATTTCGATTTTGGATTGGGCTTTGTCTTTGACGCGGGCGTCGGACTCGACATCATCTCCTCAGGATCACGCGCAGGCAGATTAACATCGCGGGGCGAGAGCGGGGATGGCGAGTTGCGCAGTGGAGAAGAGGAAAGAGGTGACGGGACATGCGGTGAGTAGTTTGTGAATGCGTGAGCATGCGGTGAGAATGTGCTAAACATTTTGGGGTTGTTGTTCCGTCGTTGTGGACGAGGAAGGAAGTTGAGGTCGAAAGGCGGACGCGCTTGGAGACGCGATCCCGTGTCAATGGGTCTTGGCCGGATTGGGACGGCCAGCCTGCTACAACTTTCATTGCAACAAAAGCACGAGAATTCACTTCAGTCTGAGGCAATTTATCGTTTGGAAGTTGTTGACTGGGCAAGAAAATCGGCTCGATTTCCCATTACTGTAGCAATTTTGGCCGCACCCGGCTTCATTGCTCTTTCTCTGCGCTGCATCTACCGTACCGCGATCGCACGGAACCCCACATCCCCTCTCAGGTCTCCCTTCAGATCCAATTACCGGCCCACGGATATCTTACAGCCATGCTAAGGCTATAGCAAATTCAAAAGAGCAGATCCCGTAACGCCTCCGCTGTGGGAGCCGAACGCCACCCTCAGAAAGTTACCCTATTCCTCTGGTTCATTCTCCGACTCAGCAGCCACTCGAAGATCGTAACTGAGTTCAAAGCATTCCGCTAGTAAATCATTCACACTGCCTTGCCCTTCTGGTACATCATCTCCAACCATGAATTTGCCATCAACTCTCATGTTGTCAATAGAATTGAGCTAGATATCATTTAGCTACTCTTCAGATTTGAGTAATAGATGGCGTACCTTCATGCTGTAAGGGTACAGCTCTCTTGGTGAAGTGACCCCTCCGGAGTTTTTTACTTCAATAAGACATCGTCTCAGAGTCTGAAGTTGATTGTACACTGGCAGGAGGGCTTCAGAAACAGGCTCGGACGAGACCATGAGGTAGTAGATGTATGCATAACTTCGTCTGATCAAATATAGGAATGTCTGCGACGAATCAGTATATGCCAACATGTCTCTTTTCTCAGGCTCATACTCTTTGGACATAAAGCTCAGCAAACTTTCCCTCTGCATCAACGAAATTGCCGTCGACTCGGCTTTCATCAATTTTGTCCAATTGTCTTTGGTAATCGTATAAATCAGTCTCGCGTAAGGACCAAGCCTGCGTCAGAGAGAGCTTCTCAAGCTTATTTCTGATGTCAACTAGTACTTGGTACCTCTCTCTGAAGGGTTCGGGCATCTCTCCTTTCCTTGTAGATATTAGTATAGGCCGACCTAAGGAAAACTAGGATGTACCTACCGTTCAAGAACAGTTCCTGACCACATCAAGCACTTGTTGAGGAGTGCACAGACAACGTCGTTACCAACTGGCACCTCTCCAGCGGCCGTCGCGAAATTTCCATCAACCCTTTGTGCGTCGATATCTTTTGCTTGGGCCTGCAACTTCTGGACTTCCGATGTTGAGAACTAACCGGAGTTAATATTACATCTCTAACATGTGATGTTCGAAGCGCACCTTCGTTTTCGTATTTGCCAGCGATATAGAGCGAAGAATGGATATCAGTTTCTCGTGTGTCGATGGTAGGTCTCCGCCTAATCGGTCAAGTCTGCTTTGGAGATTTGACAACAATCCCTGGCATACTTCGATTCTGTTCGCGAGGAGAGTGATGAGCTTCTCCGAATATGTTCCGTCTGCGTTCTTGACAATAACTCTGAGTTTCTCGAGAGTACTTGAGAGGTGAACGAGGTCTTTGGCGGAGTATAAATCTACCTCGGTCAAGTGGTCGAGCAGTCGTTTTATCGTTGAGCTTAAGGCGTAGGCAGCAGGAGCCTCGTTATTTCGCCCAATGGTCATGAAGAATAGAGACAGCAGCTGGAAGCACCCGTCCAGGACTCTGTCAACTACAGTTATTCGAGTTAGTGGCGCTGTAGACTTCACATGGCTCAACTTTGCCCAACCTTGATTTGTCTCCTGCGGCTTATCGATTCGAACGTCGTTGAGTAATTCGACTTGATCAACCACTTTGTCGTAGAGAGGAAGGACATCTGAAGACTTGACATATGTCGTCCTGTCGGTCTTCAGAAGGGTCAATTCATCTCGTATCCGCTGCAAACTTTCGAGTATGGGCTTTTCGCGCGGATCGAGGGGAGGTGGAAGCGTTGGTGTGTCGGCCATGTTGCCGAGGTTGTGGAGTTGTGTATCTGTCAATTGATTGTAGCTTCAACAATATCTGGAAGATCGTGTGTCCGTCTTCGAGGCACAGTCTGCGCAATAATGTGAGGTTGACAGCAGAATGCCTGGTCTCAAGTTACAATGACATCCTGGGCAGCGGGGAAACATCGATAACCAGGCGGGGCCAGGCGTTATCTAAGCACTGTCACGGTGCCTCGTCCACTAGTTGTCGCTTCTTCTGCCAATCATGTGCGGTTTGACACCCTGCCGGCACACCACCAACAATTTTCAAAATCGGGTGGAACTTCTTTAAATCGCGACGACCCACGCTCCTCAAGATTCTTCACGAGAAAACCAATACACCGACAACAACCCACAGTCGGTGAGTCGCCTACCACAGGAAAATATGCTGAAGGGGCTCAAGTACTGATCCCAGCTGCCAATCTATAGATTCTCAAAATGTCGAACGCTGAGCTCGCAACTTCCTACGCGGCTTTGATACTCGCCGATGACGGTGTCGATATCACTGTATGATTCCTCCTTCTTCGAGACCCTGCGAACTGGTCAGGATAGCGGTGGGGCAAGTTGCTGATTTTACACAGGCCGACAAATTACAAACACTCATCAAGGCTGCCAAGATTGAAGATGTTGAACCTATCTGGTGCTCACTTTTCGCCAAGGTATGAGGGACAATTCAATGGGAATAATACACCACAGGACAGTGTTGATACGTGGAATTATAGGCTCTCGAGGGCAAGGATGTCAAGGACCTTCTGTTGAACGTCGGATCAGGTGGTGGAGCCGCTGCTGCGCCAACAGCTGGAGGTGCCGCATCTGGAGGAGATGCTGCTGCTGAGGAGACCAAGGAAGAAGAAAAGGAAGAGGGTACGATTTACCTCGTATTATGCCGCTATCCGGACATCCAAACTAACAACTTCTACAGCAAAGGAGGAGTCAGACGAGGATATGGGTTTCGGTCTTTTCGACTAGAGCGGTTCCTTTCTTTCCTGTCTGTACTTACAAATGCATGGCCACGGTCTTCTCTCGGTGCAACATTTGGCTGGTCGGGTAGCTTTCCATAGAAAAGCAAGCTCATGAGGAATTTCTGGATCTCGGAGCCTATTTTGGCCCGTGATTGTATGAGGGTCTGGATGTGATGCCTGGAACACTTCGTTTGCAACGGCTTTCCCCCGGAGTCTCATTAGCCTTCTGCCTGGATTCAAGCTACTTCCAAGCTCCGTCCGAAACTTCTCCTCATTGTCCAAACAGATGCAAACGGATTACGCCGCCGGTGACCTGCATTGTAGGAGCCTCAGCCTCATCCTATGGCCACAGATGTGATTCCGAACCAGGAACTTCTTGGGTTCATTGACCACATTCCGTTTCCGCACAGGTACATAGCCTCTAGCTTGGACATACCCCAGAAGTTTCTCTGCACAGCCATCACTCAACCCACACAATTCTCCTCCAACGGGGCAAGGTCAATTGAAAGTCTCAAACTGTGTGCATTTCAATATGTTTTGGAGTCAGGTGAGCACTTTCCTGCCTGGCAAGTGTCTGGCAAATGAGTTTCTTTAGAATTTTGGTGAAGGATACTGTCCTGTCAATGAAACCCATTCCGTTTGTAATGTCTCAAAGAGCTTTCCCATTGGGGCCCATATAACTATCCTCTCTTTCCTCCCTTCGATCTTCAACTCCTCAAGCAGCATCTCCTTGCTTAACTTTCCAGATCCCAACACCACTTCCTGAACTTCCACAACTCAGTTCAGCTCAGCAATTATGAGTCTTTCAATCACCGTCCTCCTCTCTGCATTGGCAATTGTTGCCGCATCACCCACCCTCCCCCCTCGTGCTTGCGGCACAGTCTACCCAACTCTCTTCTCTCTCCTCAGTCCAGAGCCTGGCTTTTTCAACTCAGTTATGCAACCAGCCAAGGCAGATACTCCGCTTCGCACTCTCCTTGATTCTCCTCATGTCCGCCTCCAACACATCCAAGGGACAGAGGGCAAGTCTCAGGACAATCTCCAATTTGTCGACTTCAAGGTTCCTGCTGGATCCAACACTTGCCAGCTGGAGATCGCGGACCATGCCGACATGCTCTACTTCGAAAAGACCACCGACAACAATGCTGCCCTGCCCGCCTTGAACATCATGAAACTCATCCCGGGTGCCCTCTGCGAGGATCCCAGCACCGAAAACGTCACCTATGCCGATGTCATGGATGCAACTCCACCTGTCATCCAATATTACCATTGGGGTGCTGCCACCCTTCAACGTGGCCAATCCAGTATCATCGGCAGCTTCCCCTCCCCCCCAGCCAATGGCAACGGAGAGGATGGACATGTTCAGTTTGTGTTGCAGTTTGATCCGGATCAATTGGGAGCAGGGTCGTGTGACTGGGTTCTGCCACAATCGACCACTGACCCTGGTGTCCTCGGGTTGGTGAGTGGTATTTACTTGACCCACTGTTAAGTGGTTCGGTTTGGCTTGAGAAGGAATGAGAAGGGACGAGGCGATGAATTTACGAAAGATCGATGGGGAAATGGGTATGCGTTGTCGGTTTTGTAGGTGAACTCATGAGTCGGATCGCGGGTTTCAACAACTCGAAATGAATTTGGTTTGAATTTTTTTACAGGTGGAATTGATTGCTTTGAAAGAATCCATGTCTACAGACTTCATGCAAGCTGTGATTTTCGAACCCCCAATCTCATCTCATTCTCACACGTAAACCTCTCCATCTTCCCCTCAGCATCCTCGCCCTCATGGATGTGGAATCCTGAATGCACACTTGAAAGGATAAACCTGGATCTACACCCAATCAGCAACACACCTTGACACCCGTCTAAAACTTCAGTCAAAACTCACCTTGTCGAAATCCCAAACCTCACTCTTAGCATAGATGTCATTCTTCAAGATCTCCAGCAATTCCTCCTTAGAACTCGCAGACGCAACCATCGCACTGCCAAGCATCTTCATCTGCTCTCCCTCCTTCGGGACCTCCTCGAGCAACGCCCCTGTTTCTCATCAGCCCTTTCCCTCTCGCCACCAATGATCTAAAGAAAAGGAATGGGAACTCGCCGCCCATCTTCCAGAACCCACTATCCATCTTCGGTTTCAAGCCCGCAAAATGTGACCTTCAATCAATCATCAGCCCTTTCCCCATGTCAAACATGGATCGAAGAAAAGGGGGGTCTCCTTACGGTCTAACCTCCATCCTCTTAGCTAACTTTCCAGGCTGATCCGGCATTATGACCAGCCATTCAAACTTCTCTGTTTCTGGTGCTGAAGCCATTGTCCTGTTCCCCGTAGTTCTGCTGATTGAGATGGTGGAGCGGGTGAGGGGTGATGGTTTGAGTTGTTGGCGGAGAGTCCGTGTGAGAAGGGACATGTCAAATGTCAATACCGGATGAGGACGGGGAGGAGCGAGGTGAGAAGGGTAGGGAGTGGGGTGAAGTGGGGTCTTTCTGTCCTGAATGGCGGGGTCGATGAGGTCAGGTGACGCGCCTTTCGAGTGATTAGTTATACGTGCACCCTTTCTATTTTTATTTGCTTGGAAGAAGGAGGAGAAGATGATAGGTTTCTATTGAGGATTTTAGAGTGTTGCGAAGAAGAGGAATAGTTGTGGTACGGGGAAGGGCGTATGGCTTGTTTTGATTTTAGAGATTGCTAAACTCACCCCGTTTGACGAGGACCTGGATCTTGAACGCGAGTCGCGTCTCCCAATCGCTTTTCCTTCTCAATTTCAGAGTCGATCTCAATGGCTAGGGAAAAGTCAACCTCACGAAAGAGACCCCTGCACGAGGTTGAGAATGAGGCTCCCGCCAGGAAATGAGTCAATATCGAAGCCAAATCGCCGAAAACTGCCATTCGAGACGCGTCTGAAGCTTTGATCGAAGCTATCAAGCAGGCGGAAGAAGTCCCATCTACACCCAGCAAGGATTATCCCCAAAGCTGCTCGGAAAAGAGGTACGGAGACCGATACAGAAAGCGCCAACTTTGAATTCGAGAGGGACAAACCGACCGGGCTGCCGTATATTTACATTGTCATGGAAAAAGGCCTCGTCGACAGCATCGAGGAACACTGGGAAGATGTTCTTAGCACTTTCGTTACCCTTGAAGATGCCAACAACTTTGTTCGGAATCATTGTGCAGACAACGCAGAACGAGATGATCCGGATGCTATATTTGAGGAGGGAATGAGTGCCGATGGACGCATCTCGTGGTGCTATGAAGATGAGAATGGAAATGGAACGGAGCTCAGGATTGAGAAGTGCATGATTAACGCTCCGGGCTCTGTACCTGCACGGGATTGGAGTAGACCTATTGGAGCACCTTGCCCGGTGAAGGAGGATTCTGAGGATGAAAATGAATGCTCGTCTTCGGGGAATGACGAATATCGCGGGTATGAGAAGGAGATCGAATTCCGAACCCACCGATATTGAGAACCCGACAAACCCGACAATCAATTCCTGCCTGGCTATCTCCAATAATCTCCCATCGAAGATTGGATCTGGGAGAAGGGACTGATTCATTTGGGAGGTTGGTCTCGTGACTTTTGGGCAGCTCCTGTGTTTACCCGAATCCGGACAATTTTGTCTTCCAACTTTCATTTCTTGTTGCCATCGTCGCCTCCATGTTCTCATTTCTGCAAGAGCCCGAGTTTGAATGTTGTTCTTGAATTCTCTCTTGTTTGGTATCAGGGTTTCCGTCTTAATCTAGATCAGATCTACCCCGTCACTCCGTCAAGCGGCGCAAGCTCTCCTGTCTCCACCTCGTCCCTTTCCAGTAATCCAAAAGAAACAGGCTCATAGCAAGTAAACACATGCCGCTCAGGATCGTGAAAGTCCATCCGATACCTATCGTATCTATTAAACCTTGCAGAAACGATATTGCAATGGCGGCGAATGTGCAGCGGACGATATTACTAGAAGCTTGAGCTGCTGCTGGTGTTCGGTGGTTCTTGTCGCCTAGGAGGGTGTTGTAGATCTTATTTTCTTGTTAATCATCAGTCTAGGCTGCAGTTGGGAAAGAGGACTGACGCTGAAATCGAGCTGCATGCACAATCCTACAATGAATTGGATACAGAGTGGAATGGCTATGTGCTGACAAGTGTCAGCTTTGGGCCTGTTGGACATGCACGAGGAATCTGACTTTGTGGAAGTGCAAGACCCAGCCGAATGTCAAAATGGAGGCTGCTGTAAGAAGCATCGGTATCCATATGACACCGAGGCGCGCCTTTTCGACCGGGAAGTTATCCAGGTCATCGCCTACCGCCTTGTCTGTCAGCAGACCCCGTGCTGTCCTAGCATTGCGGTATGCGGTATCCAGAAGCGGGCCAGAGAAGAACGTGGACACGGTCCCGCCAATACCGAATGGAAGGTATATCAAGCCCGCTTGCCACTGATTGAGCTTGTAAATGTCAATGAACAAGATTGACAGCGAGACGTTGAGACAAGTGTAGACGGTATAAAGGAACCCACACGCGATGATAATCCCTATATTATCCTTCCTCGCAAGTATCTTCAGAGACTTGAAAGGATTTGGAGTTCTCCACTTATGGTTTTCAGTAACATCACTTTCGTTCCAGTGGCGCATCAGCCCACATATAGGCAGTCGCAAGTACTTTGCCGGTCTGATTGATCCGTTCCCTACGAGGTTCCGAGAAGTCTCGGGGAGGAGGAAGATCATTGTTGTCAGGCCGATTCCGGCGGCGATGGACAGAAACCAGAAGATCCAGGTCCAGTCAGCGGCGTAGGTGAGGACGCCTCCTAGTATGGGCCCGATGCTTGGAGCAATTGTTATGCTTGTGAGTTTTGTGTGAGTTTGAACCTTCCATTTTTGGGTTTCAAGAACGTACGCAAAAGATATCGCACTAACAAAAGAGCCTCTTTCAGCGGGTGAAGCAATGTCATTTACTACCCCATACGCAATTGAAAAGGTGCCTAAAGATATTAGTCTTGAACCAGAATCACGGGACAAGCTTGCCAGAAATTGCCAAAGCCTGTAGGACGCGAAGGCCAAGGAGGGCATGATAAGACTTAGACAGAGCAATGCCGATATTGGCTCCAATGTACAGGCTGAGTGTAATCACATATACGAGCCTGCGACCCCCTACATCCGCCGCGTCTCCAACCAGTGTCGGTGCAATGGTTGCAATTGCCATGTACGAAGTGATTGTCAGGTTGATTTTTGCTACTGAGACCCCAAAGGTCTCGGAGAGAAGGTGTAGCGCCGGAAAATATATGAAGCTGCTCAAAGTTGAAAACCATGCTGCGTAAGCGACCATACCGATGATGCACCATTTTTCTGCTGTCGTGAAGAGGGAGTATCTATCGATCACTTCTCTTGCGACTTGGCTCTCCTCGTTGCCTTTTTCGTCATCCATTGTCCCGAAGGCTATTCCTGCCGCCCAAAAAAAGATTGATTCGGAGAATATGGACGGATACTTGTTCCAAAGTACAAGTAGAGCAAGTGCATGCCAGGAGGCAGAACGTCGCGTAAATAACGCTGCTAATCTAGAGGGAAAGGAGTGTGGGCAAGGCTGACTTTACCTTTGCCTTTATGATGGCAAGAGATGGCTTGTGGTGCTGAGAAGTGTAGTTTGCATTCAGACTGCAGGGGCAAACTCGAAGGTGGATTTGAGGGTGGGGTTTTCAGTTGGGGATCAGTCGCTTACAGACTGTGGATTGTTCTGGGATGCTCGAATCATTCAGAAGCAAAGAGGACACCAATCAACGTCGACAAAACTTTAGGAACTATATCCTTCTTGATCCGACTGCAAGTGTGCTGGTGCTTGTTGATAATCATGATACTCTCTATCCATTTACACTGACAGAAATGGCTCCTTTAGAAGTTGTAGGTACAGTACACCTTAAGGGATCTGCACGAAACTGGGGAAAAGTGGGGGTATATGCATGTCAATCCTTTAGCTGCTCTATAACATATGGCACATGATCACCCGTAACGCTGATATCTTTCTTGGGATCATACTTCCCGAGGGTTTCCAAGGGGCCGTATTTCTCGCAAAGATATAGCATATCATTGTACGCCCTGTAAGAGGTTTCATTCAGCACTTTCTCCGAGCGTTGAGAAGAAACACTGACCGTTGCCTTGAAACACTTCCTGGATGGCCTGCTGAATCATTTAAGTACGGATGAATACTATAAAGTCGATTCCGGTCGTCCCACTCATCCTTTGGCTCGGAGGGCTTAACATGGCTCTTGTAGAGCTGCATGTATTTCTGCCCCATGAAATATATCGCCCATGAGCACCTCCAAGTACCAAATTCCATTTCATTGTGCGCATAGGTGCAGCCAGCATCGAAGAGGATCGCCTTGTCTGTTTCCATGTCGATTCCGATATTCTGTTCCCACAAGTCACCGTGTATCAGTGAGGGTTTAATTTCGCGGCCACCAGACTGCAGGGCTCCCAGGAGTCTCGGTATGACCACATCTATGAGTTGCTTGCACGCAGCGTCATATTCTGGCCATGGCCCGTTCGTCTGGTTGTCGTATTTGATGACATCCTTCAGCTGGTGGGTGAATGATTTTGCCCAGCTCTTTTCCCAGGTCACGGTACGCTCCATGATGCCACAAACAACAGGTACCGGGAAGCCGAACATTCCATTGGGGGATGTTCCCTTTTGATGCATCTGTGCTATCTGCCACATGAAATGCGCTGGATCGGGCGGTTCTTCGGTCAGAACCATATCATGGAAATCCCCCAGGAAGAAGTGAACATCTTGTGACTTGTGGTTCTGGTAATGTCCCCAGCCCACAGCCTTTGGCACCAGATCTGACACCACGGCATCGATAGCGGACACAGAATGGAACTCGCCCTCGGCCAGTGCGCGAGCACTATTCCCCGTTGCGGTCTTTCAGACCAGCGATCAGTAATTAGATCAATGTTGATAGAATGGAAAAGTGGCTTCGCTGTGTACCTTGAGGAAGTATCTCTTGAAAGCCCCGTCTGGCAAGTTAACGGAGATTTTGGCGGTCTTGGTCCATGAAGATGTCCCGCAAGACTCTGCAGAAAGAGGTTTGGTTCCTGAAGGCAAGACTGTTGGGGGGATAATTTTAGCTCAACCTGGCTACCTGGGCCGGGCCGCTGCTGAAACGCTTGGACGTGCTTACCCCTGACAACAGCTTTATTGAGTAGGAAGTTTCCCTCAATCCCCTCCTCCCACTCTGATGAGGACGCCATGTTTCGATTACTGAGAGTGTGAGAGCATGAGGGATTCTCTGGGTCTTTTATGAAAGCGCGAGTGCGTTCCTGAGTGTCTGGACGAGGTTCACAAGCGCCGTCAGAAGCCTATTGGATACCTTCTTCCGGGGCTGACTGCAGCAATGAGTAATGGGCCTAGTCCCACTTGCCTGTGCGTACAGGGAATTTTAGTGATTTTTTAAAATTTCAACCCTTCAAATTCTTAAGGATTAATTAATAAAATCATACTTAAGTTACTTGCCTCTCAGACGCCAAATATTAAGTCGTGATTATTCATTCTCATCTTATAATCAATAAGTGACTCCGTAGACTTCTGTTTTGGCAAGCAGTTCCAATGCCGCCAGGAACAACTTTCGTAAGCGAATTTTCTCCTCGGTTTAATCTCAAATAATTTGCCACAAAAAATAATAAAACTTAACTCCTCTTTCAGATATCTAAATAACTCTTTTCAAAATAATTAACTAAATTTTTCTTTACTTCGTATAAATTTTTAACTAGTCAAAATAAGTTCGCAATGTGAGACTTTTTGATATTCTTAACTTTTAGCGAAAGTCGTTCCTGGCGGCAGCGGAACGGCTGTAACCGAAGTCCCGCACCAAAACACGCTAAAAACACGTTCAATACCACAACCAAAATGCGCGATAAGTTCATCAAATCAAGTCGTATCGACCAGCCAGTAGCCGCAATTCAAAGAACGGAGTTCACTCATTATGCCGATATAGCTAGGGAGTTCAAGTATAATTATAGCACTGTCTCCAGACGAATCCGTAGCCTTATAAAGTCAAAGAAGGAAGCGAATTCATTCTGGTACTAATCCTCCTCTTCTATCTTCTATCTTCACTTCACTTCACTTCCTTCACTTCTTTATATTATCCTACGTTTGGACCACCCTTAAGCGGTTGGCTCTCGGGGCTCCTGGAAAAAAACTGGTCACGTGAGGAACACCAGAATCGCCCCCTTCTAGGGAATTACGCATCGGAACACGATTATGTCCAAATCCTTAGCACTCAGCTTGGGATTATAGAGAAGAAGCTAAGGTATCTTTCTCTATATTTGAGTAGTTCTGGAATACGAGAGGCTTTTATTATAATTTTTTAAAGCTCAGGGGGAAATCTGAAGCTAGCGGTTCCATAGAAAGCGCTAAGAAAAGAAACCCTGGCCTTATATTACTCTCCTCTCTTTCTTCTCTTTATTACTATGGATCCTCCCCGCTTTTGTACTTCCTATAGGCAAAACCGGCCTGCTTCTAACTTTATTACAGAGCGGGCTAAGCCATATAAAACTTGCTCTTACTATTGAGTTTATATCCTTCCCCTTTTCTGGCTTAATTAACTACTAGTTAATAGGCCCGAAATACTACTAATTATGTCTAGCGGTACCCTGCCTTGCAAGAACTTAATCCGAATACCCTTTTTACCTTCCGGTAATAATAATAGTTAATTACGGATATCTCTGCGGACAAGCCAGCCCTATAGCACTAGTAACGGATCCGTTAACTGTCCGTTATGGCCCCAGTTTATATTATAGAGGACCCTCCTGCCAACCCACCTACTATATGGCCTCCTGCTTTCCTCTCCCGCTTCCGGCTAGCTCCTGTATATATAACCGGTCCGCTTATAAGTTACTATATAGCTTATAGAGCCCTCTATTTTAGCTATATAAATAATTACTTTAAGGCCTATTATAAGAAGAGTAATATAATACTTCCTCTAATCCACAAGCCTTTTTTATATCTTTCTTACCTCTTTATAAGTAATAACTTGCTTTACTAGGCCTTCTAAATAAATATCCGGATATATAATTATACTTTTGCCTTTATATTAATTAGTTATAAGAAGGATACCCGGATTAACTTCTCTTATAAAATCTAGTACTTTTAGATCTATAATAAGCTTTTTTATTTTTAAGGCCTATTATAGCCTGCTTTATATACCGAACTTTTCTTTATATAGCTTTTCTTTTATAACCTGCTTTTTATAACTAATATACGAGCTACTAACTTCCCTTACTTAGATTATATAATTCTTTTATAATTTATAAATATATTTACGAATTATAATCCGTTTATTATAATCTATAAGATAGCCTATAAGTATCTTATAAGCTAGTAAACCAATTTCCGGATTTTATTTAATTTATAAATATACTTAATTCTTGAATTAGGTACTAATTATTATTATAAGAATCTTCTAATAAATAATAAGATTATAGCCCTTATTCCGAATAAGTATATAAATATAAGCTACTATAATCTAGTACTTATAGTCTATAAAATAAATTATAAATATTTATAAATATATATAATTAATATTATATATATAATATATTATAAGGCACGTAATAGTAAAGTAATATACAAGTAGTTAAGGTAAGTAAACTATAAAGTAATACTTATAAGTATAACTAATTTCAAGAATTAATTCTAATAAGAGACTAATTAATACCTCTTCTAAAGCTAGGAGTATCTCCCTATATATTCCCTAGTACTTAGCCAGGCATATAAAGCCCTTTACTTAATTAGGAAATCCTATATAATTCATATAATTCTAATTACAAGCTATACCTAAAATAGGAAACTAGATTCACGATATCTAATACCTATTTATGCGCTATTACGTATGCCTATTATATTAACCTTTTTTTTAGGCTCTTATTCCCAAGAGGCCTGGGAAAACTGCGAATAGCTTTATAAATATCTCCCTAAAACTTTCCTGGCTATTAGCTTTCCCTAAAAACTTCCTATAATTGCCCTATTATTATACTAGGTAATAGAATTAAGGATATAGTTTACTAATTCTTCCTAGCTAGTTCGCAAATTGCCTCTAGTAATTTCCTCTTATAAAGGTAGTACAAATATAGTATATACTATTAGATATAAAGCTTATCTAATCTCCTAATTAGTTCGTAAATCCTAACTTAGCCTCTATTTGCAAATAAATTATTACTTTATAGGCCCAAGAGCTTAGAAAAGTTAATCCGATTTTCTGGTTTATTCGTGAATTCCTTCTTTAGAATTTTCTGGATATTCCTAATATAGAGCTAGTTCCGAATTCGTAATTATTATTCGGGAAAAAAGTATTATAAAAAGGCCTTTCTTTTCTTACTAACTAATCTTCCTTTTCCTTAATTATAATATTATATTTAGCTTCTCCTTATTTCTTGCCTTTTTTCTTTAAGCTTTCTTTAAGCTTTTTTAAGCTCCTTTAAGTCTTATTTAAGCTTTATTTAAGTCTTTTTCTAATTCCCTTTTCTACTTCTTTATTTATTAAGATAAATACTTCTCTTAGTACTTATTAGCCTATTACTACCCGTTTGGCTAATACTCTTATATTCTTAATTTGCTTTTATTATCTTTAATATTCTAAGAATATTACTAAGTTCCCTAATCTTACTTATATTAAGAGTAATAATTACTCGATATATAATTACTATTACTTTAAGAATAAGAAGTATAATCCTATAAGTTATAAATTCCTTCTTTTATTTCTTATTCTAATATTATTTAAGGTTTCTTAAGTATATATAGTATAATTAAACTACCTTTTTTAAGTTATTAATATATACAAGCGTTTTCCCTATTCTTTGCCCAAAAAAAAGAAGACTATTACTACTTTTCTTTTATACTAAACTATATATACTTCTCGTATTAAAGCTATTATTTGAGGCTAACGAATTTCCCTAATAATCTAAGAAATAAGTTAAGTAATTCTTACTAGCTTAATGCAAGTATAAAGTACTCTTAATAATATAGTTAATATTCTTTAGTATTAAGTAAGCTTATTTTTTCCTCGTTTCTTGCTAATAGCTAATAGCTTTATAAGCTAATTTATTATTTGTTTCTCGAGAGAATTCTAATAAAAATAATAATAAGGATAGTAAAAAGTAGTTATAAGAATAGGGTATTTATAGGATACAGAAATTAGAGTTTTTAATAATTTTCGTATGGTTTTTCCAAGAATAAATATATGGTTTTTTAATAGTTTTCTAATAAAAGCATTTATTTTTTATGCCTTTATTTAGCTAATAGTATTATAATATTACTCTTTTCCAAGTATTCTTGTAATTCTTGAGCTATATTCTCTAGATTACTTAATAATTCTCATATATTATTTACTAGTAAATAGTTCTTCTAATAAATAAGATACTTCCTTTCTTTTCTGCCTTTTTTATAGGCTATAATAGATTTTATCTCGAATTTCTTTTTGCCCTTAATCTTAACTAGTTCTAGTTTTACTATAGTACTAGCTTATAGGTACTATGGTTTTAAGAAAGAAATATGAAAAATATTATAAATCTAATATAATAATAATAATTTCAAGTAATATATTTATTTATATATTTCTATAACTTCTAGAACTTTAAAGGGGCTAAGATATTTATTTACTAGCTTTATACTAGGTTATAGCTATTAAATATTCTTTATATAAAGCATGACTTTATTATATATCTTAAACTTCTTATTAATATATTTCTTATTATAGTACTTTTTCTATATATTTACTATTTCTTGCTATTACTTCTCTAGTGCCTCCCGTTTTACTTGAATTCTTTATATTCTTTTATATATTACTAGTGCTTCTCTTTCTAGAATATTATTCTTAATATATAGTTCTATATTAGGATAAAATTCATATAATATATAAAATAGGAATATTTTTATTATTAAATATATAAAGTTATTATATGTAAATTCTATAAGAGTAAGCTTTATTACCTAGTTATTTTACTAGTAGCTAGTATAGTACCTTAAGTATTATTTTAGAGTTTAGTTTAGATTCTCTATTTATTTATTAGTTTATGAGTGAAATACTATACTTAGCTATTATTAAACCTTTAAATAGAAATATAAACTTAACTAGAACTTACTTATAAAGACAAATTCTTTATTAGAAGTTATGCCTGCAGGCATACTAAAGTCTTTAATAATATAGTATATAAATAGCTTTACTAGCTCAGAAGCCGAGACTTTCTTAATAATTAGAATATATTATACTATTTTTATATATCTATTAATAATAATAAGTATAAAATTATATATTTTATTATAAAAC